AAGGATGCTTCAATTCCCAAAGAGCATGCAACTGGAATGGAGATCTCAGGATCTGCTCCAAGCAGACCCAAACGCCCTGGTGAAGTGGAAGTTACAAGCGTTTTCGATGATGTGGATTCTTCTTTTCTGCCTTCTATGGAAACTCAGGTTGATGCTACTCAGGATGTGGGTTTAACTACACCAGTGACACCCCCAGTGATTTCTGGTCAGCTGCCTCCGACTCCAAGGCAGCAACATACTACAAGGACCCATGAGACTGAGGTGGTTGATGATCATGAGTCCAAACGTGCAAGGATCGAGAGCCAAAAGAAACAGAAGATTAATCAGCTGAGAGAGTACCATGAGTCAATGATCAGAACAGTGAAAGTGGGCACAGATGAGTTTGCAACGATGGATGATTATGAGCTTGAGGTGGATGTCAATGACAGCACTCCTGACGTTGAGTTTTGGGAGGACGAAGACAATCTTGAGTTCAAAGATGTTCCAGAGGCTCTGTGGTCATCAGCTTCTTTGGAAAAGCAGCCACCACCTCCAGAGCAATGGGTGGACCAACTGGCTGATGAAATTGAGATTCAACGTTTGCTTTCAATGGGTGTTCTCCAGAGAAAGGAGGAGTGTTTGGATGAGATCTCAGGTTCTTTGACAACACGATTCGTTTATGACTGGCGAGTCAAAGATCACCCCAGTGGAAGCAAGATGTGGATGAGAAGAAGCAGATTTGTTGCGCGTGAGTTTGCAACTGACCGCAGAAGCGATACATATAGCCCTGCAAGTGGATGCCATTCAACAAACCTGATTCCCATTCTGTACCTCAAGATGCTTGCAGACAGTCTGGATAGCGTTGACAGTTTTGGGAATGAGGGTGACAGCCCATATCAGGTTGTCTTGGCGGCTTTGGACATCAAAGATGCCTTCTTGCAGGTGCCTCAGGAAAAGTTGGTGATGGTTTCTCTTTACAATCAACAGTATGTGATTCGACGCAATCTTCCGGGACAGCGTCTTGGAGCAAAGGCTTGGTACTGGTACTTCAGGAAATACATCAGTGAAGTTCTGGATTGTGTATGGTGCACTGAACAACCTTGTCTTGCAAAGTGCGTTGCTGGAGGGATTTCGAACTGTTTTTTGATTCACGTGGATGATTTACTCTTTGCTGGCAGCCGTGATTTCTGGGAAGGAAAATTCTTGCCTGCAGTTACAGACAAATTCAACGTGAATTTCAGTGAGATCAAAGGTGATGGCAGTTCAATTCATTTCCTCAAGCGACAGCTGGTAAAGGTGAAAGATGGATTGTTGGTTGTGCCAGGTACGACAGCTGGCAAGATCATTGCGTACTTTGAGAAGTTCTTTGGTTTTGCCCGCAGCCAAAAGATCCCATGCGACAGTTCGATTCAGAACGATGACAAGTCACAGATGCTGAATGAAAATGACAGCAAAGCATTTCGCAGTGTCATAGGCCTACTCCTCTATGCAGCAAGAGACCGTGTTGATGTGATGTACTGTGTGAAAGAGCTGTCATCATTCATGTCATGTCCAACAGTTTGTGCACTACAGAAAATGCGGAAGTTGGTTGGCTACTTGAAAGCCACAGGTGACATGGCCATGAAACTTTCGTTGCCAGAGTTTGGAAATGGGAAGTTGAAAAAGAATGGTGAAAAGTTTTGGAATGTTGAAACATACACGGATGCTGATTGGTCAGCCCACAAGACCCACAGACGCAGCACAAGTTGCGCTGTTCACTTCATCAATGGAAACTTTGCATATGCCTCAAGCAGAACACAGCGTGTTGTTTCTTTGAGTTCAGCAGAGTCAGAATTGCACAGCATGGTGTCAGGCTGCTCTGATGCAATCTTTTTGAGGCGTTGCATGCAGTTCCTAACAGGTGATGAGGTGGAGCAATGGCAATGGGTCGACAACTCAGCAGCACGCCAACTGATCGAGCGTCAAGGTGTTGGAAAAGTGAGACATTTGTCAGGGAAAATCCTTTGGATGCAAAGCTTGGTCCTTGAGAAGGATGTCAGTGTTGGACAGGTTGCAACTCAGTGGAACCTGAGTGACATAGGAACAAAACCCCTGGCAAAGCAAAGGCTCTTAGTGCTCTTGAACCAGATCGGCGCGTGTGACCCAGAAACCTTGGAGATGATTGGAGAGGAGGAGTTCAAAGCTTTTGAAGAGAGAGTTTTTGGACAGAAAACAGTCAAGCGTGTGGCAAAAGCAATCATGAGAATGGCGTTGATGTGGGGCCTTGAGCCCAGTCTTCATGTTGGAGCAGAAGCAGCAGGTGACAACGAGGTTTGCCTTGAGGTTCAGGCTTCTGGAAGTAACAACAAAGATTGGTGGCTATGGTTTGCAATGGGTTTGATGCTTATTCTTTGGTTTGGTTTGGCAATGGTCGGATATTTTGCATGGCGCAAAGTGTCAAGTGACTTACAACATTGCTGGAACCAGGTTGGAGATGAAGATGCATACATCTCTACCCAGGAGAAACGCATTGATGAGTTGGTTTCAAAAGTGGAGCGCATGCAGACCCAAATCGAGCAAGACTATGCAATGCTTTCAGATCGAGTTGAGACAACAAGCAATGAGGTTTCAATGACCCACGACTATGCAACAGGCATTCATTATTGCTTGGTGGAACATGGAGGTTTTTTGAGAAATGGATGTGGTTTGAGCCAGGCTCAGTGGGTTCATTTGACCACATTGGAGAGAGCAAACTTGGTCAGTGCGAGAGCCCTTGGATCGGTTGAATACATGCGTTTGGTGAGACAAAGGTTTACACCACAAGGAGTCGCAGATGAAACTGACAATGTTGCTGTGGATGAAAACGAAAGTGAAGACATGCCTATGGATGATGGCATGGATGATCCAGTTGAAACAGACACAGTAACGGACATTGTGGAGTTTCTGAAAGGAGAGCATGTGAAATGCTTGAGCAATGGCGATGTATGGGATGCAAACGAGATCCAACACACAATTCTTGGATTCCTGGATGGGGTGAGAACAGAAAATGCAGCCATTATGGTGGAAAGATGCCGAGAGAAAGTTGCAGAGCTTTTTGATAGTCTACATCAGAAAGCAGTGGATCAAAACCGTTGGGACACCGCAGACCACTACCAAACGGTGTCAGGCATGTACAGTTATTTGTGAAATTTCTCTGAATTGGCGTTCCTTTACAGATACAAAACGCTGGGAAGGAGCAAAGACAAAAATCAGAGTGTAGCATAGAGTTCAAGACTGCAATGCTACAAGGAGGAGTGAGAAAGATTTTTACTCCTACATATACCTTCAGACATGCCTTGCAGTATGCATTCAGGTATGGACTCAGGTGGACTGCAGAGAGACTCCAGTGGATGACACGCACAAATCGAAACGAGAAGTGTACAAAGATTCATCCAATTGCACATGAATAACATTGTGCTTACCCCAGGCCCTGTGGTTCAAAATAGTTTCGCTGCCCGCTTCGCAATTTTTAATTGACATATACCCGTCCATCTACATACATTTACATACATCTACATTCAGCTACATACATAGATATACATCTACATACATCTACATGCATCTACATACATCTACATGTCTACATGCATGTACTTACACCTACATGCATCTACATACACCTACATACATCTACATACACCTGCATACATCCACATACACCTACATACATCTACATTCATCTATATACATCTCCATACATCTACATACATCTACATACATCTACATACATCTACATATGTCTACATACGTCTACATACACCTACATACATCTACATACATCTAGATACATACCTGCAAACACACATACATACACACATATACGCATACACCCATACACACGTACTGGCATACACCACATACACGCATACAAACATTCACACTTACACCCATATCTACATACACGCATACAAACATACAGAGCTAAAAACCCAGAGACGTAAAAACCTAGATACCCAGATGCCAGATAGATAGTTAGATATATTGATAGATAGATAATGATAGATAGACAGATAGATAGACAGATAGAAGGATACAAAGATAGATCGCTAGATAGATAGATAGATAGATCGATAGATCGATAGATCGATAGATCGATACAAACATAAGAACACAAATGCATGGGTGCATTGGTACACAGATAGACATCTAGCTAGGTAGATGGATAAATCGATAGAGGGACGGATAGATAGATAGGTAGATAGATCAATGGATAGAAACACACATACATACATACCTACCTACCTACATACATACATTCATTCATTCATTCATTCATTTTTTTTCGGGTTTTTCTTCAAAACACGAAGGCGTAAACAACGAATTTATTCAATTTTTGTTTCAATGTTGTTGAATACGTTTCTGAAACCATATTTTTGCAATCGTGCTGATTTCAATCAAGGATGCCATCAAACACAATTTTTTGTATTTTTTGACTCCTGGGTGTGTTGGAAGGCTGGATTCTTCACAAAGAATGCGGAACACTGTCAAAATGTTTTCAAAATTCCAAAATCAATCTTTACGTCGATTTTTGAAAATTTGTTTCATGTTTTTGTTCGATGTTCGTGCCTTTCCAGGTCCAGCAACTCTATATTTTGATCATGTTTGTTGGTTTTTTCTTGCCGCAAATCAGGAACATTGAGTGGTCATTGTGAAACTCATCCAGTGCGATGGGTTTTCAAAACTGGACACCCTTATGGGACACCCTTATGTAGCCAGCAAACATACTGTTTCGTGTAAACATATCGTAAAAACTAAACGTTGCATTTACCAATGACAATGTTAAATGGTCGGGAACCAGAATGCAACGCCCTCCATGAAACTATAAAGCAGCGCGCAAGAAACCACACACAATTTCATGCTGCAAAATCAACAAATCTCCAGACATGTTGTTATTGTTATAATTTCGTTGTCACAGTTGCACGTTTTTTCCCCGTGTACCTGATGATGTGATGAACAAAAATGTGGAAGTTTGTGCTCAAAGTTGGTTTACCCGAGCACGTGCAATGAAGTCTCTCACTTGCCTTTTTGCCGCCTTGGCGGTTGCTGTGGCAACTGAAGGTCCTGTGGGAAAAGTGGTCAACCTTTTGGAAGACCTCAAAAACAAAATTGAAACTGATGCTGAGATGGACGAGAAGGACTTCAAGGAGCATGAATGTTGGTGCAAAAAAGTGCAAGAATCCAAAACAGAAATGATTGAGGAAGGCAAAAAAATGGTGAAGGTCAAAGAAAGTGAAATTGTCGAAGGGAAAGCAAAAGAAGATACCTTGGAGAAGGAAATTGAAGAGACCAAGGAGGAAGTGGAAGAGAATCAGGAATCCCAGGCAAAGGGAACAAAAGTACGCGACACTGAACATGACGAAAACACGGAGCAGATTGAAGAGGGCGAGACCCTGATGGACGGTATCAAACAGGTTTCGAAAGTCTTCGACAAATCTTCCTTGGTCCAGCTTCGTCACAGCAAGGCATCCAGATATTCACCCAAAGCACAGACCATTCAAGGCATCTTGCAAAATCAACTTCAACAAACTGAGAGCGATGTCAAAGAAGTCAGCAAAGAAGAAACCACTGCAACAAACCACTTCAAGGATTGGATGACAGATATGAAGGAACAACTGAATATTTTGGAAAGCAAAAAATCAGATGAGGAAAAGGAGGAAGTTGAGACAGAGGTCGAAATCGCTGAGGACACAGAGACCAAAGTGGATACAGAGGAACAAGTGAAGGCCGATGCTGCATTCTTGAAGGAAGCAGAAAAGTCTTGTGCTGCGCGCAAAGGCGAGTACCTGAACCGGACTGAGTTGCGGTCAATAGAATTGGGTGGCATCAACAAGGGATTAGAAATTTTGGACACCAAACGAGAACTTTTGAGTCACTTGGTTGCAGACACACCTTCTACAGTATTCTATTTTTTTTCATTCATTCAAATCCTCTTCATTTTGTTTACTAGTTTCTGAAGAGAGAAATGCGTGTGTCTAAGGCAAGACTTTCAAAGGGTCGTTCTTGCAGTTGAGTGCGACCAGTGCGACCAGTGCGACCTTGAAATTGCAGAGCGCCCTTGAAGTCCTGAAGGCAAAGGCTCAGCAAACCCAAAGTGTTCGGCTCGCATTGGTAGCTTCTGAGGTTCAGAATGCTCTTCCAGAAGGTGCCTTCACCACAGTTTTGGCAGAGATTGAGAAGATGTTTGAAAAATTGAAGGGTGAAGCTGCATCTGACACGAAAAAGAAAAATCATTGCAAATCTGAGTACCACTCCATCACCAAAAAGAGCAACAACTATGCCTTCCTCATCCAGAAGCAGACTGCAGAAATCGAAACTTTGGAGACCCTTGGCAGCAGTGCTTTTGTGGCAACAGATTCTCAAATGGTTTGCAAAAAGATACAGTTGGGGAGAAAGGAAAAACAACCCGGCAGTCTGTTTCTGGCACAAAGTCTGGCACAAGGATAGGTAGATTCGGTTGCTTAGACTCCAAGTCACTCCAAGTCACTCCAAGTCACTCACGTGCCTAGGAACAAAATGTCTGAGTTGGAGTCTGAGAAGGCTGCCGCAGCTGCAGAAGTAGCTGAAATTGATTCGGACATGGACAAAGCCAAAAGCCTTTCGCCTGCATTAAAGTTGTCGACAAGAGCGACAAAAGTCACTGCTGTCTCCACAAATCAGTTCAACTATCCTCATGTACTCACGGCCTTTACTTGAGTTTTTTTGGTTTCTAGATTCTAGTGGCATTTTGCATTGAAGCTGTAGGATACACATACGTGTATGACAGTGTATGTTATGTTTCTGTAGCTATCGTATATGCATGTGGCCATGTTCAACTCGGATGCTAAGACCTCCGCACCAAAGCGAATAAAGCCTTTTTGAAAGCGAAGGTCCGGCAGGGAACAGAACGCATGGAAAAGAAGGATAGGAGGGAATTGTATCGATTGAATGGGCAGGAGGGAGATACTAAATCCAATGTTTTTTTTTGAATGTACAATTTGAAAGGCGCTATATTGTGTATTTTTATGTTGATGTTGATGTGAAGTTTGGCGATCTATTTCTGCCTGAAAGGCAGATGATGAAACCGGAATGGCTGTCCTGAAAGAGACAGCAGATGCTATCAGTGCTTACTATGAGAAGCATGCGCAAACTGCCGAGGACAGTCCACTTGCACAGACTGCACAGATGTTAGATGTTTCATTTTGTGGGTGCCCCACCGAAATATTAGAGCTATGATTTGGGATTGCGCCCAATGAGTATCAAGAGTAATCGATCATTTAAGAAACATAGAACAATCTGAATCTGTTGGTCCGGCCCCAGAGTATCCTGACTTCTTTGGAAGCTTTTGCACCGTGCGAGGCCTCTTTCGTGGAATACGACCCTGACAAACTCAGTGACAAACGAAAGCAGCTTAAGAACGAAGAGAAAAAGTATACTCTTTCGAAGGCAGACTCTCAGAAGGGCGCTGCCGACTCAGTGTTAGCACTCATTGAGCGTTTGGTGCAGAACCTAGGGACAGAGATCAAGGACGCTCAAGCAGATGAAGCAAAGGCTCAGACTGATTTTGAGAAGGAGCAGAAGCTTCTCCAAACAAGCAAAACCAAGCTGAGCAAGAAGATTGCCAGTATTGAGGGCATGCTCGCAACTCATGCTGGTTCCAAAGAAGAAGCAGAGTTGGCTCAAACTGGCTCAAAGACAGACTTGAAAGCCCAGAAAGATTACAAGACTAGCATTCAGGAGCGCTGTTTAGTTTCAGTGATTTTCACTTTGAACATCTCTATACATGGCTTGTTTGAGGCACAAGTAAAAAAAAAAGTAACAAGAGTCTAACAAGATCTCCCAAATGCAGCCCTTACGGCTCCGGCTCCAAGGAGGAATGTGACTTTATCTTGGAAAATTTCGATGATCGCGCTGCTGACCGTGCGGGAGAGATGGAAGGTCTGACTCGAGCAAAAGAGCTCCTGTCAGGAGCTTCTTTGGTTGAACAAAAAACTCCAGTTCCTCTTGAGATGAAGGACACTCTTGCCCGTCAAAGCTGCACCATGGATTTGTCCTCTGGAAGTGAAGGTGTTTCTTGAGTCTTTTACCTCCACAAATCGCAGCATGCCAGGTCTGCTTGGCCCTAGGTCTAGATTCGTCTAGATGTCTAGTTTTTCTCCCTAGCGACTAGTCATCAGGTCGGCTAGCACCTAATGTATTTGTTCTGCTCTGTTAGGCACAATGCACATGATGAAATTTATGGGTTTTGCAGAAGACTGAAGCCGGAAGCAAAGTCCGAAACTCTCCTGCGTGACCAATAGTCCAGTAGTCGCGATTCTTGTATCCAACATTTTCATACATTTTCTACCACATTCCCTTACGAAACCTGGACCCTGCTGCCGCTAACCGCTACAGGAAAAGGGCAGCCTCATCAAGTACTTGGGCTTGGCCAAGTAAGTTGCAGCAACCAAGTGACAGATAAAAGGGTCCGAGTCTGGAGTGCTTACTGTCGTTGTCACGCTCTCAGGAGCAATTCAATGCTCTCATTCAGTTTGGTCGAAATTTGCTGTGACTCATTGCCTGTTTCCGGAATCTGCCTTGTTTCATTTTTTCAAAAACCTCTTGTTCCTGCTCAAGCAAGACACGCTTTCTCTCTGGTTTGGAGACAAGAGCGTAGAAACCTTGGCTGCCGGCACTGGCCCATGCTTGAAGGTTTCATTGTCAAAGGTTCATCAATGATGGCTGTCGTGGCTGTTATGTGGTTGTCATGGTTATTCCGTTATTCCCTATGTTTTCTTAGCTGTTTCTTACTCAGGCCAGTATGGCAAAGCACATTTTATGCACGGGTGGAGCTGGCTGCAAGCCCAGTGACTTTGTGTCTTTGTGTACTTGTGGACTGTCAGACTTGACAAGGAAACCTCGCAGCCTGGATTTGGTTGGAAACCGTCATACCGTCATACCTTTTAATTGGACTTGGCTGCTTACCATGACCACAGTTGAAAGGACCTGCATCGGAGCGACATCTATCTAAAAGTATCTAAAAGTCAAGTCACTGCTGTGACAGCCGAAAACAGACTTCTAGCTTTCTAATGCTTTCTACAACCTCGCCAATTTCTGAACATTTACGCAGATCGTGAAGTGGCGTGCAGGCAACCTGCAGGACATCACAAACTTGACCAGAGACTTGAATCCTCTGGACCGGTTCTTTCGCTTAGGCTACATCGGTTCACATACAGTTGTAAAGTTGACGGAGAATGGCTACAAAGTGTCCATCATGGACAATTTGCTGAATTCGAGCGAGAAGGCCCCAGAGTCATCATGGTCGGTGGAATCATTGGAACTGATTTTTTCTGGTTGTAAAAGCGACTTGGTACAAACCTACCACTGTTTGTGAGACAAAAGCTTACAACGGTTTAGATTATTTCCATAAATATATTTAGATAGATTTGGACTATTTTCCCTGGAAACTCACAACAACGGCAATTTCTTATTGCGACGCTTCAGTGTGCTTCACCATGCTTTTTTACTTTGTTTCACTACATCACCTTAGACACGCGCTTGTACTTTGCTTGGCAGGTTTTGCCGAGACTGCAGGAGCTCACTGGCAAGGAGGCGAAAGCGTAACAGTCATCGTTTGCAGAGGAGAGTCGGATCGCACGAGACTTTTGCGTTGAGTTCACTTTTGAGTTCACTTTTGAGTTCACTTGATTTAGAGATGTTCTGCAAGTAATGCGAACATGGTCACTTGGAGAGTCTGCTGGATGTCAGCTGTACTGTGTAACTTGCTGAATCTTAACAGTCCATGCGCAGACCCCGTTCTTCAAGACAGACATGTGTGACGCAGAGGCAAACTGCAAACCTTTGACATTTCCAGCAAGATTGTTTCAAGATGTTTCAAAATATGTTGAACACGTCGTGCTTGCGTCGTGCTTGCTTATTTGTTCATATCTGCGGAGCATGACTCGAAGCGTCCACCTTCAGGGATTCTCCGGGTTTCAACAGAGCCACATTGCCAGGCAGTAGACAAGCTCTTTGCTGAGCAGAAGTTTGACGGTGTGATTCACTTTGCCGGGCTCAAGGTTTGGCAAGTCACAAGGGCTATATTGGTATCTATTTAAGTGCTTTAAGTGAACCTTTAGCAAGTGCAGCATGTGCAGCTTTCCAGACACAATGAATTTCGAAGATGGCTTGAACTAGGCTGATTGGTGCCACTTGGGTGACGGGGTGTGCCATTGTATGCATCGTTCTATTCCTCCTCTTCGGCTGGCTCAGAAATCACAGCACCTTGCCGCAGACAAACAATGTCGTCAGAGCATCATAGTGTAGTCCTCATGACATAGTTCAACAGTTTGCGGACTCTTCACTTAAGACTCTAGGACTCTAGAAGTGGACAACTAAATGTTCAGAAGAATATTTGATAATATTTGAGCAACTGGAAGAATAGCTTTGCAGCATATTCAATTCAAGACCTAAATTCGCTGCTGTGTGCGGCAGCAGCAGTGAACTGTACGCAGCTGCAAGCTGCGTGAGAAAGGACCTGAACAGCTGCAGAACACCGTGCATTTTTGACAGCAGCTGCACAGAGATCTTTTGGACAAGGTCAAGGACGCATTGGAAAGACAAGGTCACCATAAGCATCCATAAGCCTTTAAGATCCTTTGAGATCCTTGCAGGATTTCATGGACACACACACAGACGTTGCATGAAGTACCCCGATGCAGGAAGCCTACAACGCCGGGCAAATATGATGCAACGAGGCCAGAAACGGCTGGCCTTGTTCCAGTCACGTTGTCCCACTTTGAATCTCCAAATTCCTTGGCATTTTATAGAGTTCCCATTCCAACTTCCAGTTGCAGGGAACGGGGAAGATTTTGTACTATGAGTTCGTGGACTGTGGCAGCGCTGTTCCTCTCCATCTTCCAGGTCTTTATCTGCAAACAGAGGGTTAAAATAACATGCTTGAAAGATCTTCAAAGCCTGACAGATCATCAAAGCTACAAACTGAGTCAGGTAACACACTCTGAAGCCTACACGTCTTTCTAAAAAAACATTCAGCTTGATGTGTCTTATGTACACAAAAGCATACAACTCTTCATACTCATAAATATGCATGGATATGACTCATGACATATAATGTAAATTATATAATTATATACTGATATGTACTGTATATGTATATATATATATGCAAACTTATGTTGTTTGTCCTTTCTTCGGCTTTCAGAGTGTGAAACACAGGTGACCAGTTCTGAGCTCCTTGCTCTGTCTGTGAGCTCCTCTTCACCAGGCGGACATCCGGAGGGAAAGTCTGTTTTGTTGCCACATATCATGGAAGTATTTTGATCATAATTAATTCTCTTGTTGCATATCCAGAATGATCAAGAATCCTGAAGGCATATTTCTGAAAATGAGTGCCACAAGATCTGCCATTCGTTGCCATTGTTTGCCAAGTTGTTCCTTTGTTACGAACATGAGACATTCGTTAATTCGTTGCAGAAAAATTGCAGTCCCTCGCTGACATCCCAAGGTCAGATAGATGTTCTATGGGGTTCCGCTGCTGTTTCTGCTGGGGCATCTGGTGCAGCGCAGGCAATGTGTGTCGCCCTGACACCTTTTATTTGCTCTTTTCTATATACTTTCTATATACTTTCTCACCTTTTGCCTCGCTTTTGGTGTCAAAAGTGAGTCCACTTTGACATTTGCTGCAGACTAGCTGCGGCGTGCTGGATGTCCGTCTCCTGGACTTGGCACCGACAGGTTTTTTCCGAAGCTTTCGAACATGTCACGGTGCATACCGTGCCACCTGGATTTTGCAGATTCCCACCGTTGAGGCCTGGATGCTCACGGTGACTGAAGCGAGCAGTGGTTCGCCTATGTCGGTTGATGCAGCTTCCTCAGAGCCTATATGTCGGATGAATCGAGTGGCTTCTGGTTTTGCTATGGCCGTGGTATTCTATGGTTTGCTTATGTTTGCTTATGTTTGGGGTCACCAAGGTGGAAGCCAACTGCAACTCACCAGTGCCAGCAATCGAAGGCGACTTCGGACTTCGGTCTTGTTCTGTGATCTCTTTACTGAGGAATCAGTGCACATTGCAAGACGTTGCAAGGCCAAACCTGTCAGTTCACTTTGACGAGCAATACGCAGTGGAATGTAGAGGCTCCCGCTTTGGGATGGAAAAACCGCCAGTGCGAGCGGCAATTGAAGTGCAAGCCGTCCCCTTCCACTACCCTGGCCAAATCAATGTACGAAGTCAGGTTTTGGAGGACTGCAACGATACGCAGGCCGCATTTCGATCTCGTTTTGACACACTTGATCAAAACTCTGAATTCGGAGAGAGCAATCTGCAAGGAAGACAGCATGTTGGGTTCAATATATCCTACGGCCCGGGTGTAAAGATGTTGCTGAGGTTTCTTTCTCTTATATATGACGTTGAATAATCTCAACAAGATCTTACAATGGTTTGTAGTTTTACCAATGGTATTGTTGGTCATTTTGCTTTTTGGTTATTCAAATCGACCGTGATCTCCGCCAGGCAAGGGATCCCTCTACAGCCTCCGTTTTCGTTTTGGGGCAGTGTCTTGGCTGAGGTTCAGGTCAAGCATTCTGCTGTTGTACCGAGACCTGAACATGGAAACAGTTGAATGCTTGCATCATTGGAAGGCCTGCAAGCACTCCCAACATTCAGATCACGGATGCTAGCCACGGCCCAAATTTTGACGGTAGCAAGGACTGTAAACTTGATCTTTCTTTGTTTGTCTTCTATATATTTGACAGTACCATCTGTATTTGTTCGCTGGTCTTGTCATTTTTGAAAGTTACCCAGGTGAAACCTCATTGTCGCTTTCATGGTCTTATGCTGGTGATGGCGATTGTGTCTTTCAGAATTGGCAGGTGGCACTAGAAGAGCATAACAGTCGCAAACATCAAGATGTTCCACATGGAAGTAGCAAAATGGAACGCATTTCTGACTGGACAGGCTGATTGGCAAGTTTACGGCTCCGGCAACTGGATACAAATGGAGAATGGAACAGGGACATCTTTGGTTATGACAGGATTGCAGGCGCAGCATCTTTGGAAGGGCAGGGCAAAGTCAAGACAATGCCCTTCAGGCATTAGCATTCATTAGCCATTCGATCCGGATCTTCTCGGGAAGATTCGGAAAAAAAAACATGCCAGGCCAATTCCGTTTATGAACTTCGCGTGCAGCAAGTGTGCACAGTATGGGCCTCTGGCGTCAAAAGGAACCACAAAAAACGAAGTGTCAGAAGTGCCAAAATAATGCAGTGTAGCAGGCGGAGTTGGCACACATGTGTACGAAATGATGATATTTTTTGCAAATTATTGGTTTTGATTGGTTGACACTAAGGACGGCCAGTTAAACTCCCCGTATGCACAGACAAGCGAAGGCCTTTTCACACTTCCTGGCACTTTCAGTGTTTGGACCTCGGCAGACAGTGGCCATTGTGGTCAAGAGTGCTTAAGGGTGTTTGCCATTTGGATTAGAAAGGCTGGACTTACATATCTCGACTGGTCCCACTGTGCAGGTGTATGTGGGTACTAGCTCAGCGACTCGCGTTCTTGAGCTCAGCCGCTTGCTCGGTTGCCGAAATATTCATATTCTCATAGATCGGAAAGGCACGCCTTTCACATCCTTTCCGATCTTTCCTTCGGTTTTGGCAAAGGGGATTCGCAGCGCCTTGACTCTCACTGTCACTATGAGACCTGCAATGGATTGCTTAGCAAAACCTGTCTGTGCCATCTTCGAAGTGACGTCGTACAGTGTTTTGTTCCTCCAAAAAGCGTTGAAAGATGTTGAAAGTAGGATATCTATGGATATCTCAGCCTTGAGGCTACGGACCATCGAGATGCAGAATTGTCAAAGACTGTTGTGGAGATCAGTTTTCAGCCGGGTGCTTTGATTTTTTAGGAAGCACGTTGCAACGATACATAGTCGCGGAAACTAACTTAGTCTTCGAAATGGCAAAAGCTAGATTCACCTATCTGATTGGCTGATAGACTTCTTTGCATCATCTTGCGCTGCGCGAGGTTTGCTTTAGTGGCACTGACCGGAAGACCGCCACTGGGATTTATATATATTTTTTGCTCTGGGAGTTTCTTTTGCTTTCACATTAAGGATTGTGCAGGTATGATAGAAATGAATAGAAAGGATGTTTTGTTGTGCCAAGTCACAATGGTATTGGAGTCTTGGTACTTCGTTGATGCCATAAGGCAACCTTGAGCAGAATGGATGTTGCTGGTGGATGGGGCCAGCAGCTCTGGTGGAGCACTCACTTGAAATTTCAAAGCTGTCACATTCATGTCACCAAATTTGCCAAAGAGGTCATAGAAATCGTTGTAAAATCAGACAACATCAATTGGAGTAGTGATTGTAGTGATTGGTAGTGAAGTGTTTATCATAGTTTGTCCTACCTATTATGATGATTTATATTGATCTATTATATACGATGTGAGTCATTATGCTGCAAACTGTGCAGAGTAGCTCATGCATCGTCAGAGCTGTACCTCAGGTTACAGTGCCAAGCATCTTCGGTGTCAGAATTCACTGCCACCTTCACAGAGGTCCAGCAGTTCATGGCGGCATGGTAGAGCATGGTACAGCATGGTACAGCATGGGTCAGCATGGATCAGCATGGCCATGGTAGGTGTACTCGGCTTCTAAGCTGAGAACCTAGATATCACCTGCTGATGCAACATAAGGCATTCCTTAGTCGCATAATGAGGCACTTTCAAAGCACAAGAAGGCAACATCTTCACGTGGGAATCCACACACCCTGGAACATACTTGATGTTTTTTTTTTTTAACTTGCAGCCAGACCCATATATCTGCCAAATCTGTGCAGGTACAGGCACCTGCACCGCTTTCACTAGAGCTGCACGAGGCCACAAAGAACACAATGAAAGCAAAATATCGGTTGGGTCGGACGCTAAGACAGTCTGGAACCAACAGCTTCAATAGTGGTCCGGCTGCTTCGATTGTTGTTCGATCTTGCCCTTTGTGGCTGTTTTGAGGCTGGCATCAATAACATCACTATCCCATTTGTTTTAATTCCTGTTGATGCAGTGAAGAACGGTTTGTGAACGATCAAGGTTACATCATAGATGACGTTGCAACTTGTGACTGTGCAACATTGTCAAATGCTCAGAGAGACCGATCCGTGATGAACTCCAGACTTAGCACAGCAATAATCCCATCCCCGCAATATTTACCCCCAACAAAGGACACCAAAATTAGTAGATTCAATGCTAAACCAGTACCTAGTGGGAAGGGATAATGACATGAGCACGAAAGCTAGCGGTAGCTGGAGTTTCTTCTTGCTTTAGCAAGGGATGGGGCGGACCAAATGCCAAACGCGTGATTTTTCACGCACCCCCCCCTCCCCCCTCCTCACCCCCCCTCCTCTTCCATGCATCGCGCTACAAGCCATTAAAGCCACAGGACAGGATGACACTAACACGAACTAAGCACCGGAGTATGTAATGCAGTTGCAAAATTATGTTGGCTTAGGCCCCCTTTAGGCCAATATTATTCGGCGTCTTGTATAGCTCTACTTAACCATAATGCATCTCACACAATTACAGATCCCATCATCAATGAATTTATATCGTGTTTCATGAGTGTATCAAATATACTTAAGCACTAGTAATCTCTCGCGGGCGCAGCTCAGTCCGTACACCTGGCTCAAAAACTGCATACAACCCAACTCATTCTGAAATATTATATAGTTTCCATTCGATTTTCCCCCCTCAGTATGCAATTCATAGATCATTTTTGGCTATCTATTTCCTTAAAATAATCCAGCAAACTTCACGTTCTCATATCCGCTCATACATTACACTTTCGTGTTGAGCCACACCTATTACATCCTTAGCGTCTACAATAACCAATGCCTGGTTAAGCTATGTAGTGGTATTACTACATGAGTCGCACAATTACGAGCTATATCACTTAGCTATCCCCGACCTAAGCCGCACATTCACATGCCAAACAATATAACGTAGGCTTCTCCCCGCGTTACATTTTGGAAGCAGATGAGCAGGGGCTCAATCCCCCCACCTCCAACCCTGAACCCACAGAACCCAGGCCACCCAACGCACGCCACCACCCCAACTTATTCACCAAGTCACTCCGCGAAAGCAGAAACATTGACTCCACCTCTCTCACTCCATCTGGCCCCTGTTTAGCTTTCGTTCACCAACCCTTGGGACGCAAGTATGTCGTCCAGTTGCTTTGCTGATACGCTGCAATTTAATGTAATTTTGACTGCATACCATCTGCATACCATTCAGGTCTCTTGAACTGAGTGCTGATGGATCTGGTGTTTGGACGCAATTCCGTGGCCAAGACGACAGCTGTACAGTCATCGGTGTGCTTCCTAGAACACAGCATGACGAACCGTAACGAACCTGCAAAAAATGCAGGCCTCGAAATGATAGATCAGCTTTCTGCAATGCTGTGGCACCGCCTTGCGAGAAGTGCTTCAAGGTACTCGTGATTGTTTCCTCATAGATGTCTGGATCTCATGGCCACTGTCATGATCAGGGTCATTGGAGTCATTGGGTTCATGCCCTTTGATGATTTAAGATGCATTTGTGACAGCATGTAACATCATTCTGATAGAATTCTGAAGCACAATTCATCGGAGCTCTGCTCCACCAAGGTGATGCCAGACACAAAGTATTGGGGACGGATGAAAATGTCCGACACTTGACACCATGTCACCATTGTGACGTGTGAATGTCTAGGCTCCTTTGGAGCTTCTATACACTTCTCGATGCTTCTTGATGCTTCTTGATGCTTCTTAGATCTCAGGAAACAAATAGAGTAGATCTCTTCAAAATCTTGAGACACGCTTTGACCGCGACAGGTCATGCGACAACTCTTCCGCAGACAGCGAATACACATACTCCCAGGAGTGCCCGCTGCTTGCTCATGGTGAAACTGTCTTCTGTAGTAAGCCTTGTTTTACCATATTCTGTCCCATTTCTTTGCATTGTTGCTCTTATTGGAGGACTTCATCATCACCCCACCAGGGTGCATATGGTTGTGAGCCAAGCAGAAGATGCATTGCACATACACATGCAGTCGTGCTTCCTGAATTTTCCATGATTGTGCCACACGCACCTTCCTGATTGTGTCTTTGTTCCTTTTCAGAGATTCGGTGTCAGAGGTCCACCCATACTGGCCAATGGGGCCAGGGAAGCATGTTCGAGTGCGCTGATGGACAGCCAAAATTCTGATTGCATGTCGAACAGCCATTTGCAATTTAAGATTCATTCAACTGGAGACGACTGCCAAAATGCAAAAGACCGATAAATGCATGATGATTGAATATGATCAAACATGATTGATTTTCATATATAAGTATATATAATATAAAGACATTATGTGTATTCTATTGTATTCGGTTGAGTGCACAGTTCGAACTCAGCGACTGTGCCTGCAGGAACCTACTGCAGCGAGAATGACCAAGCTTGCTGCGTTGCCCATGGTGGCCGCATTCGGTCTGCCAGCTCAGAGCCGAAAAGAATCCGAAAAGCACAGATATTCTCCGAAAGGAAACGCTTTTTGAATCTGAGATTTTTGAAGTTTTTTGAAGTATTTTTGAAGTATTTTGAAGTATGAAATTGTACTGTGTCTTTTTGGGCTCAGCTTCTCCTGCCAGGTGTCCTGCCAGTACTCCCTTCATGTGCCACAACACCATGGACTGTGCTGATTCACAGGCCGGACTGGAGACGACACTGGGATGCAGATGCAACTGGGAGGCATCACAAGCAGTATAGACTACAATAGTATACAATAGTGTGCTATGTTGATACGATGTAACGAGGTTACAACCAAACACATGGCTGTTGGATGCCCGTTTGGATTCGCAGTCTGTATCAGCAGAGGTTATCAATTTCATTTGAATTCACAACTGATATATAGCTAATTAGAGTAAATTCAATCGAAAGCGGTGTTCCAACTATCCTGCACGATGAACCACAATGGTCTTATCGCTTCCAGGATCGCTGCTGCATGGCTACAGAGGAGGAGAGTCACAAATCGTTGGGTCAAACGCCTGACACTTGAGAGTGCCTCTTTCCACGGCCGATCAATTGAGTCAAGAGTTGATGGTGTGCCTATGGGTACCTTTGAAATTGCCAGCTTTGGAGCTTCGGACTCAAACCTCATCCAACTGTTTGACACCGCATGACCGTGACACGAGGAGTGCAATGGGCACGGAGGTCTTCGAACCTGCGAGGTACTCGTAGGAATCTGCTTGAACATACTCCTGCAGACACTACCATATCTCGTTTTCTTTAGGGGTGTTGTAGTCATCCTTTGTTGCATATTCTCGGCGGCAGGTTCCAGCCAAGACGCCCTTGCTGACACAGGTAGAGTCGCTTGGGTGAGAGACCCAGAGTCAGGAAATCAGACTTGTTAGAGCTCCGAACTCATGGCCTTTGAAATAAGCCAGGCTTGGAGCTTGTTAGACACAGCCTTTTTGGATATTTTTGAAATACCTGTATTCCCAAAGGCCAGTCCTTTTAGTAGACACCCTTTTCTTTGCTGAGATATGATTGATATTTGAACTATATATATATATATACATACATATTTTTGAACATATTCCTTTTTTTGCCGCCCTGCATCAATTTGGAACCCACTTTGTATCAAGGCCGGCTTCCCTCACCGTCTCTTGGGAGCCGCAAGAGTGCCCATGCACCTTTGAACGTCTTTGAACTGATGGGTTTAAACGGAGCAACAGAGACATGTACAGCGCCTTTTCTTTGATGACACTTTTCATTCACAAAAAGGTACTTGGCCTGAGTCTTAGTATGTCTTAGTTCAAGCTATGGCAGCCCATGGGGAAGATTGTTTTAGCATGAGCTTTGTAAATCTTTGTAATGTTTTCTAGGAATGACTTTCAATTTTGCTTTGAGCATGTCAGATGGCTCAGATTGGCTACTCTAGCTGCCAATTCTTGGAGTGGCGTGTGGCAATCTCACAGGTCTGAAGCTAAGCATCCCGCTTGAACTTTCCGCCTGCATTGCCAAGCGGAATATTTTTGCGCTAGTCTTCTTGCAATCAATCTGATAGCATTTAAGCCAGATGTCCAGATGTTCACCTCAGGTTCATATGTATGGAGAGGGGGAATGGTGCGCCCTGCGGTGTTTTACTTGGCGGAGGATATGTCATTGATTTGATGACATTTGCGCCATCACTTTGCAGGGAGTGGGTCACTGATTGCGACAGCGGGAACTACGACTCGCGGCAGCTTTGCCTGACATTTAATCTGGGAGCCGAAGACTGCGATTTCTTTTTCCGTGTTTATGCTTGATGGCAAGAGATGTTTTTACGGTTCAACCCTTCAATCTTTTTGTTGGAACTGTTCAATGATCCATGTCAATCTGCCTAAGAACTTGCACCATCGAGAATCTGCTGAGCTTGACAGACTACAATGTGCGGGTGCGTTCCCTGGTGCAGCTGTGTGCTTCAGTGAAAGCCCGGTGTCTGGAGGCTGCATGGCTTATACTGTGATTATACTGTGACAAATAGTGGTGGTTTCGTTTGAACTTTGAGGTTTGGGCACAGTGCACTGTTGTGGAGCTTAGCTCCTACCCAAATCGAACCACTGTGGCTGTCCCCAGCTCAGAACGACTCAAGGCTACGCAAGGCTCAAGGTGTTTCAACGTGTTTTTTTTTGTTGGTTCTCTATCACCAATTCACAAATCAAATGCACGTGCGATGTTGAGGTTGGAACTCGGCCAATTCCTTCGGTGGCACCTTCAGCGCTGTTTTGCACACGTGCACACCTTGGACCTTGACAGTGCAGATTTTTTTCAGGAAAACTTACAGAACATAGCATGGCCATCCATGACCAGTTTCCAAAGATATATTAATTATGTCCTGTGCTATCCATCAAAAATGAGCTCTGTCACGAGTCATGAGGAGTCTTGAGCGATGGTTTGTTCATGTTTGGCCGTATGTTCACATTGAGTATTTGATGTGCGACCGAGAACTGGAGCCGCTGCGGTTTTATGCACTGGCCTTAATTGACAATGCAGTTTTTTTTTTGGGGATGAAAAGTACGTCTGGCTTGGCTTTTCAGTGCCGGTAATACCATCACTGCATTACGAACTGAACGAGCGGAATCACCATAAGTCTGTGAGCTGCGAAACGGAATTGTCATTCATGTCAGAGAAAGAATGTCAAGCGTCTACGCAAACATTCAATTTCTGCCAGTTTTTTTCGTGGCACACATGCGCAATTTCATAGCTTGCACACCAGGCAGATTGGTGGCCATCGAACAGCGAAGACTGTGTTTTTGTTGCTTGGCAAGTCGATGCACAGCTGCTCCCCAGGTGCCTGGTCTTCTGTTGGGTGTAACGTGTAGTATTTGTGAGTCTGTAAGATATGGAAGCAGTTGACAGCAGTTGACATGAAAAGGTGCCCAGACCATTGTGCCCAGAGTTGTGGTGACTCCATGGCCCACAGCGTCCAGAGATGTTGTCCGTGCATCGTGCCAGAACTGCGGGCTTCACAGCAGATGGCCTCTATGAAGAAGCAGCACCTGGTGGAGATTGGGTGACAAAGTGCCTGCTGTGCACCGCTCAACATGCTCTGTGCCATTTGAATCACATAGCAAGAGTTGTCCTAGTTCGCTCCGGGTGCGTCCTGGTTTGTCACAGAGAGTTTGATTTCAGGGAAGACCGAAATGTCCTGGTGCGTGCCTTAGAATTGACGATTGACGTGATCAAAACGTGAGCAAAACACTGCCATTTTCCAAAAAGAGAAATGGCAATTCCAACTACTGGGCGCAGCCTTCATTTCCAGCAATGACTTGGTTCACATGACTTCCATTGTCCATGCTACTGTAGACTGCTCACTTTCAATGTTTAAGATTCTTTAAGTTTGTTTTGGTAAAGATCACAAACAATGTGAACTGAGAATCTTGAAAAGATTCAGCCACATGTTGGATCATGTTGGCATTTCCACAAGACGGATGCGAGAAAGTCAGCGTGGACACGAGAGCAGTTACAAGATATTTCCAACTGCCAACAATCTCTTTCACTCAGAACTGCTGGGTCGGAGATTTGCTTGCCAACCGAGAGTACAAGATCAGGGTCTGGAGCTTGATAGTGATAGTGTCTTTGGTTGTGCCGGCTGTGCCCTCGAACACTTTGACAGATGCGTGTTTTTTTTGCTTGCATTTCTCTCACCAGGTTCGAGAGACTTGCACGGACCCTTTGGCCAACAGTCCCTTCTTCGAGAGGCTACTTGGCTTGAAAGCAGTTTCAGTGACCATTGGAACTGGTACTATGCAAACGAGCGAGCGGATTTGACTCAAGTTATCCCAAGTTGTCACAGGCTGCATTTGATTGCAGTTTCGAGCCGCCACTTGCATTCACCACAGGTATCAGGAGTGCACAACGTTGACCATGCCTGCCTTCGATCCAACCAATCTTACAGCCTACGACGAAGACCTGTATACGTTTGAGGCATGCGCCGGCACAATTTTTTGAGTGGTGTGCAGGTCATCATGCAAGCATCAACAGGCCGACTCATGAAGCTGACTCTTGAATCGACCAACATTTCAGCTGACACTGCTAGGTAAGTTGGGAACCCAACGATCCGAAGGCCTGCAAATGACAGACACAGGGGCAGGGTTTCTGTGCCGCCTTCCTCTTAGAATGTACGCCGTCAGCTTTTTACAAGATTCTTTCCTGAATATCCTGGCAGGCGTGCATTTTCCAGTACTGGGACATACAAGCGAAGGCTGGCTTGCAGTCTTGTCAAGCATTACGTCACATCGCTGTCCGTCCGGTCAATTGACTCATTGACACAGATCAACGGAACCGACTGGCCTGAGGGTGAGCTCCTTAGCCTTAGCCATTTCGGAGTCAAATTTATTTTCATCCCTTGTGGAATGCAGCCGCAAATCTCACCTGGAAGGCAACATGAACATCATAAACGGCCAAACAGATCCAGATGTTTCAAAGCTGCGTATTGTGAATAGTGAAGCGGCTCGAAGTCTTGACCGCAGTGAGCCTTGCTGAGGTGATGACCCAGCTGTGTTTGGCTGCAGATCCTTGGTAAGGACCACTACAAACTGCACGGTGCGCTATCCAAACCCAACCACCTTTCTTGAGAAAGCAGAACTTGTGAGTGATGACTCAGTGATGACTTTGTGGCACAACTGTTTGTAACACTGTTTTGACACAACAGTTTTGGACACTGTTTTGGTTTGTGCCAGCGTCCAAGGTCCATGTTGGCATCAACAGTGGCGTGGCCTTCGAGTGGAGAATACGTCCCTTACCAAAAAGACAGCGATCCAGAAAATTCGATAAATTCGATAACCAATGTGTGAATAACCATTGGTAATTTCTTGTTTCAAGATTTTGTATCGAATTCATATGAGGACTAATTTGATATTTGCATGTTCTACATATAGAATGGGCTAGCGCCCGGGTGCCGCCGACCCCCCCTATTTGGGGGGTCCTGCAGAGAGAGGGAGAGAGATAGATAGATGGATGGATGGATGGATGGATGGATGGATAGATAGGTAGAGAGATAGAGAGAGAGAGATAGACAGATAGATAGATAGACAGTTGGATAGACAGATAAGTAGATGGAGAGATAGATGGATAGATAGCTGGATGGATAGATAGATGGATAGATAGATAGAGAGGGAGAGATAGATAGAGGGGGAGAGGAAGATAGAGAGGGAGAGATAGATAGATAGAGAGGGAGAGATAGATACTCCGACGGCATCCGACGGCATCAGCGGTTCAGTGGGTCAGTGGCGCGTCGCTTCCGGCGGGCCGTGCTGAGGTCGATGGTGGTACATGGTGGGACAGACATGGACATATATGTTTTGATATGCCCCAACATGCCGCAATTCAATCACAAGGTGCAATGTGTATGCAATGAGTATGACGCTACAAATTTGAAGTCAGACCTCAGTTCATATTTTTAAGCATATTTGGCCTCCTATCATTGTATGATTGGTGGTAGAGTATCATTGATTTTGAAACTCAGGGATAATCAAGGGTACTGATCTCCGGAAGCTGCTGAGCTTGCCGCGCCAGGGCCACGAGTTGTGGCGCCTCATCATCGCCTTTTGCGGGCTGGCAAACGGCAGGCTTGAACCACCATAAAAGGACAATGCCGGGGCTGGCAAACGGCATGGGAGCTGCAGGGAAGCATTTGGGGGGTTTTGCGGGCTGGCAAACGGCAGGCTTGAACCACCATAAAAGGACAATGCCGGGGCTGGCAAACGGCAGCCTTGAACGCCTATAAGAAGCCATTGCTGCGGCCGGAAGGTGCCCTTGAGCCATTGCTGTGGCCTTGTGGTGGCTTTTGCGTGCGGGAGTGGCGCGTGTTGGGCTTGTTGGGGTACTTTGTCCCTGCGGAGCTATGCGAACTTTTGGAGCGTTTGGAGGGTTTTGGAGGGTTTGAGGCCTGGCAAACGGCAGCCTTGAACGCCTATAAGAAGCCATTGCTGCGGCCGGAAGGTGCCCTTGAGCCATTGCTGTGGCCTTGTGGTGGCTTTTGCGTGCGGGAGTGGCGCGTGTTGGGCTTGTTGGGGTACCTTGTCCCTGCGGAGCTATGCGAACTTTTGGAGCGTTTGGAGGGTTTTGGAGGGTTTGAGGCCTGGCAAACGGCAGCCTTGAACGCCTATAAGAAGCCATTGCTGCGGCCGGAAGGTGCCCTTGAGCCATTGCTGTGGGCCGTGGGGTGCCCTTGAGCCATTGCTGTGGCCTTGTGGTGACTTTTGCGTGCGGCAGTGGCGCGTGTTGGGCTTTTTTGGGGAACAAGAGAGGGCGCCGTGCGGCGAAAAGGGCCATGCTGCAATGCTGGAAACGCTTGACGGCCAGATGGCTTGGTGTGTGTCATCTGCCGCGAGGTGGCAGCTGCCGGAGGGATGTGCAGACAGAGCAACGGCAGGCTGCAACCCTGGAACAGCAAGCTGCCTTCCAATTGCTGGTGCGCTGCCTCGATGCTAACGAGAGATAAAAAGCGGATTGAGCATATTGCTGTGGCCTCTCGGGTACTGTTGGGTTTCTCTTTTGCGGCCGTGGGGTCCCTGAGCCATTGCTGTGGCCTTGTGGTGGCTTTTGCGGTGCGGACAGTGGCGCGTGTTGGCTTGTTGGGGGTACCTTTTCCCTGCGGAGCTGGGCGGACTTTTGGAGGGTTTGGAGGGTTTGGAGGGTTTGGAGCGTTTGAGGCCTGGCAAACGGCAGCCTTGAACGCATATAAGAAGCCATTGCTGCGGCCGCGGGGTGCCCTTGAGCCATTGCTGTGGCCTTGTGGTGGCTTTTGCGTGCGGCAGTGGCGCGTGTTGGGCTTGTTGGGGTACCTTTTCCCTGCGGAGCTGGCCGGACTTTTGGAGGGTTTGGAGGGTTTGGAGGGTTTTGGAGGGTTTTGGAGCGTTTGAGGCCGGCAAACGGCAGCGTTGAACGCGTATAAGAAGCCATTGCTGCGGCCGTGGGGTGCCCTTGAGCCATTGCTGTGGCCTTGTGGTGGCTTTTGCGTGCGGGAGTGGCGCGTGTTGGGCTTGTTGGGGTACCTTTTCCTTGCGGAGCTGGCCGGACTTTTGGAGGGTTTGGAGGGTTTTGGAGCGTTTGAGGCCTGGCAAACGGCAGCCTTGAACGCGTATAAGAAGCCATTGCTGCGGCCGTGGGGTGCCCTTGAGCCATTGCTGTGGCCTTGTGGTGGCTTTTGCGTGCGGCAGTGGCGCGTGTTGGGCTTGTTGGGGTCCCTGCGGAGCTGGGGACTTTTGGAGGGTTTGGAGGGTTTTGGAGGGTTTTGGAGCGTTTGAGGCCTGGCAAACGGCAGCCTTGAACGCGTATAAGAAGCCATTGCTGCGGCCGTGGGGTGCTCTTGAGCCATTGCTGTGGCCTTGTGGTGGCTTTTGCGTGCGGGAGTGGCGCGTGTTGGGCTTGTTGGGGTACCTTTTCCCTGCGGAGCTGGCCGGACTTTTGGAGGTTTTGGAGGGTTTTGGAGGGTTTTGGAGCGTTTGAGGCCTGGCAAACGGCAGCCTTGAACGCGTATAAGAAGCCATTGCTGCGGCCGTGGGGTGCCCTTGAGCCATTGCTGTGGCCTTGTGGTGACTTTTGCGTGCGGCAGTGGCGCGTGTTGGGCTTGTTGGGGCACCTTTTCCCTGCGGAGCTGGCCGGACTTTTGGAGGGTTTGGAGGGTTTGGAGGGCTTTGGAGGGTTTTGGAGCGTTTGAGGCCTGGCAAACGGCAGCCTTGAACGCGTATAAGAAGCCAGGCGTGGGGTGCCCTTGAGCCATTGCTGTGGCCTTGTGGTGGCTTTTGCGCGCGGCAGTGGCGCGTGTTGGGCTTGTTGGGGTACCTTTTCCCTGCGGAGCTGGCCGGACTTTTGGAGGGTTTGGAGGGTTTTGGAGGGTTTGAGGCCTGGCAAACGGCAGCCTTGAACGCGTATAAGAAGCCATTGCTGCGGCCGTGGGGTGCCCTTGAGCCATTGCTGTGGCCTTGTGGTGGCTTTTGCGTGCGGCAGTGGCGCGTGTTGGGCTTGTTGGGGCACCTTTTCCTTGCGGAGCTGGCCGGACTTTTGGAGGGTTGAACAGCAAAGGCTGCCGGCCAGAGGGCGTGGTGGCAGCTGCCTCGAATGCCCTAACGAGAGAGGGCTATGCGCGCGGAAAAGTTCCACACCTGCGGTGGTCCCAGGCGCCGCCCCGGCCTTGGCGAAGGCCGGGGTCGGCGGATATTATATATATTATATATATATATATATTATATATATACATATATGTGTGTGTTATATTGTATTACATTATATTATTCTATATTTCTATCACATAGATGCACACGGATCTACAAACGTCATACAAATCATTAATATTTAAACAGTCTCATTGATTTGCCGTGGAGGTGGCCTCGTTGCGGTTTCAGCTGCACGACTTCTCGCAGGCCCTGGAGGAGTTGACGTCTCTCGGTCGGAAGGGATTTGCTTGGGGTGCAGAAAAACACCGGAAAATTGATGGTGAAATTATGTGAGTTGATGTTGATTTATATTGATTTAAGGGAAAATCTGTGAATCTATTGTGATATGTGTTAAATTCTAATCATGTGTGTTGAGTTGTGTGAATTGGTGTAAATTTGATGCTGATTGAATGGGATTTGAATGGGTTCTATGGTGATTCATGTTGATTTCATGTTTTTTCCCCCTGGTGTGACTTTAGACTCTAAGTTGATAATTATTTTTCGTGGGAGTGTGTTTCTTGTACATATTTCTGAAAAACATATCAGCTACTTGGGATTAATTGATAGGGATGTTTACTGGAAACTGTTGTAATTCCCCTCAGTTTTTGTTCTATTTAGATCTGTACTATATATGCCTGGGAATATCAGCTACTGTACCTCTGGGCCTTTCTGTGGAAAACGCAAAACAGCAGGGTATCACCGGCGGGGGACCGAGGCTTCTGGTGGAAGAGGATCCAGGCAATAAGGAGGTGGGGAAGGGAGGAGACAGGGAGACCTGCACGTAAAATTCCATAGAAACAGCATGAAGTAGGGAATTTAAAGGCGGTGATTGTCAGGAGTTTTTATTCAGTGAATTCTATAGTTGCCTTGTTCGCAACTTCAGACGTCTTCAAATTCCTTGTGTGGTTCTTAGCTCCTCAAAATAGAAGGGATGCGTAAATTCCTTAGTGACTTCAGAATCCCACAATAATTACTCGGATTAGCTGATCCTGATTTTCATGATGAAGATGAAGTGAAGTGATCACATGTCCGAAGTGTTTTCCCTTAGTTCATCAGATCTGGGAGGAATCACTTGACCAAGTGTTCCCGAATTTGTCCAAACAATTCACCAACAAATTCCTAGTGTTTTCATAGAACATCGCAGAAATCCACAGAAAAATCACCAGAACAACCAGAGTTTTCACCATTTTTCTCGAACATTCCCAGAAAATCCCCAGAAAAATGTCCAGAAAACTCCCACAGAAAGTTCCCATGGCAAGCAGCCGCTGCCGATGGCAGGCAATTCGGCTCTTGGAGCTCTGTGAGATCCAGGTGGCCAGAGAAGTGCGAGAGAAGGCCAGCAGCTGGGATCAATGGGTGGCCGAGATGGAGACGGTCTGAGATGTTTGTTCGCTTTAAAGTACTTTAAAGGTTAAAGAAACATAGATGTGTGGTTGGATGTGGTTAGTATGTATAAATAAGTGTGTCTATATATTCATATTATATAATTATAATTATATAATAATATTATATATACACTTCCAATGATTGTTATGCTGGACATGAAATTGAGCTTCGTAACGATACTCAAAACCCAATGGTTAGGATCGGCGGAATCCTTCCAGTAATGGATGCCATGGGGGATGCCCCAGTTCATGGCAACCGGAGAATCAAGGTTGAGACAACCCCACAGGTCAGGACGTGCATAAAATGCGTTAATATGATTTTTTAAGTTGAAGTTTCACTTCTATGACATGGTTGCAGTTGTTTCAACGCTGTATTTCAATAATTGTGAAACCTCCAAGTAGATGTAGCCAGGCTTTGCGCTGTTCTAATCACAGGCTTCGATCCTGTGGCATTGTATCTCTCCCACTGATCTGGATGAATAATCATGACACGTCACAATAGATGATGGATGCTTACGGTTTTGTGGGGAACCCCAGAAAACTGGAAGATCGGATGGTAGTTCAGCCAGATTGCGGGTTCCTCCTAACCAGAAGAATCCAGAATAGTTCTACCCGAAATGGTAATTTTATATATTTTTATTAGCATCGGGTTGGTGAATTATAACTATGGTTATAATCATTAATATTAATGACCATGTTAATATATGTTTATAACCATTATAATGGTGAATGATGAAATTCCTGGAAAATCAGCATTCGAGCGATGCTGGCTCAACTGCCCGGCCTGGCTCGCCAGGCAGGGTTTTTCTATTCCTTCGACTGGTCCGAGGGGCAGGCAGAGGGAGCGGAGCCGTGGCGTGTTTCCAGGGTTCCACTGCTATTTGTTGGAGAAGACATCTATAGATTGAGTTCTAGATCATGGCTACCAAATGTTACCAAACTCTGATGAATGTAGTTTATGTTACCAAACTCTGAATGTAGTTTAAGAACTTCGACATTTTGATTTCGCCTGGAATATTTGATGATGCGTTTGGCGTAATTTTTTGTTTGGTCATTGGATAGCCACAATTTATCGGCGCATTCTCACCCATTCTTGGGTCAGATCAGAGAGACCTGAAACTTTAACGCAGATGTCAATCACAGAGATGAACCAGGCCTGACATGAACACTTAAGGAATTCATCCGTTCCTAGTGAAATCCTGAGTTTCATGAATGTTACCCATCAGTGTTGGTTTTTTTCTCGAGATTTGATTTGTGAAAGCTCCGCATCATCCCATGGCCATAGGAAGGGGAGCGGGCAGAGGAGCAGGCAGCGCAGGGTGGAGTGTTGGAAGGGATTGGACGAGCAACTTGGGAATGGAATTGTTGTTGATAATGTTAATGGGTATATTGGTATATCTATATATATATCTATTCTATAACATTATGAAACATTACGGAACTATGGTAGTTGAACCCCTATAAGTTGCGATGTAACCTCTATTTTTCCATGATTTTTTTCAGGAACTTCGAACTGCACACGGGGATTTCACCTGCAATTTGCTGCTCTAATTGGAGCTGTGAAATACACAGCGTCTGTGTGATCTATGCCGTTGAATAACCGGGTGTGACACGGGAGAATTTCGAATTCTTATTGAAGTGATGAAGATGGGCTTTCATTGAAAGGATGTTTCCTTCTTGTGCAGGTTTTGATGGTTTTTTCATGCTATTTTGTACAGATAGGAACTTTTTTCAACCATGACGACAGGCCATGTGTCAGTAGACAACGTTGCTACAGTAACTTGTGGGACATGACAGGCACTAAGTCATGCACCACCCTGAAAATCAGTTCTTTCAGATCTGGAAAGCGATTTGGCAGGCTGCTTCTCCGCTGGGAAGCTTGGAGCTTGTTGAACTGGCCAGCTGGCCATGGCATCATGGAACCCTACTGGCCATCATGGAAGATGATATGCTGCTAAAATTGCGTCTCAGTTAGCATGTCCAACAGGCATGTCGACATGTCAACGCTTAGACTTGTTGGGTCAAGTCTGGCGGGTCTTGAAGCTTTGGGATGAAAAATGCGGCCCCTGAAAATGACATAAAACGACAATGACTTGCCCAGCTCTTCAATGGATGCTACAAACTGACAGGTGGTGAAATTTGCAACTATTGTGTGTTTTTTCCAAGAAGAAAAGTAAACCATCATCAAAATACTTGGAACTCACGTTGAATTTTTATCTTGGGCAACCCTGCAGCCCGATTTTGGTCACCGATGATGCTGATGGCAGACCTACCAAGCTGATGTGTTTACTGAGGCTGCAAGAACGTTCGGCACAGGTGGGGATGGGGCAAGAGGGTTCGCCCATACTTTGGCGAAGTGTAGGTGGCAACACATCATTTTCTGAGCCATTTTTGTGTGGAGAATGTTTCATCTACAGATAAGGCTCCACACAAAATCACACAAAAATGCTAGAGAAAATGATGATAAATGATGTATCATCTACAGTTTCATAGCCATTTACAAAACATGCTTTGGGTATCTATGACTGGCTTTGTAACTTGTACACATTTGAGGCTCGATTTTTTCGTTTCCGGATGAGCTCGACGTGACTGCAATGAGTCCATCCGTCCCGTTGAACGTCATTCCAGACATTTTCCCAGAAAAATGATATGGCTATGGATCAATACCTATTAATACCATTTTTAGTGGGATGAACATCCATAAATCCCAGCTATTTTGATGTGAACTACAGGGGTACTATTGGTTTTGAGACACTGCCATATCATGATGGTTTATATTCACTCGTATTTGGACAAAAAAGTCTCGGTAAACCTTAGGCTTAATTGATAGTCTGTTGATTTCTTTTCAGCCATAAATTACACGAGGAAATGTACTACATTGAACTAGATTTTCCTACATTGTACTACATGTAATATGCATATACAGTGTAATTATATATATGTAATTATATATCAGTGGCTTGGAACATGTTCTGTTTTTCCATTCAATTGGGAATTTCATCATCCCAACTGACGAACTCATATTTTTCAGAGGGGTAGGTATACCACCAACCAGATATATACTGTTATATCATCTAAAGAAATCATCGACAACCAGCTGGCTTCAGCAGAGGTGGGCCTTGTTCCAAGAAGCCGGCTGCTTCGCCGGCATGTGTGCTTAGCCAGGGGGCCCAAGCTACACCTCACTGCAGCTTCGGGGTTCATGGATCCTGGGCCCAAACAAAGTTGCCATTAAAATGTGGGGAAAATATGGGGAAACCCCCAACTGACGGCCATTGAAATGTGGGAAGACAGTATGATTACGCGCAAAGATACTCATGGAAAGATACTCATGGTATTTTGGGGTATCCGCCAGTTCCAGACAAAGCCTCCAGCGTTGGCAGACACCAACCATGTCCAACCATTTAAACTCTTCACCAGGGACTTTGCAAACAAACATCAATCACCCCAGTTGGCTTGTGGTTCTTAACCCATTTGATCTAACTATCTAACTGGGGTATATGGGTGTGTCTGAAAATAGTGTACCCCTAAACCCAATGGTTAATGATCATTATCCCTATTAAATAGCTATAATTGGGAATATACCCTATTTTCAGACAAACCCATATGGTTCCTACATGTTCCTACCACTACCGGCGAATCTGAAGTCTCTCAGGACCGAGGCTTCGCGCAGCGACAGAGGTGGGGCTTACGCCTGCGGGAATCGGTGCCACAGCTCGGAAGTGAAGTTGGGAGCCGGTGGATGTCTTCCAGGGTCAAAATTGATCAAAAGCAACTGTTGAACCAGGAACCTTGAGATGTTTAACCATGAGGACGTGGGTTTTAGTATATTTTAATTGGTTTGATCTTAAGAAATCTGAGAGTTGACCTTGTGAAAATTGGGTTTTAACCAACAAGATGTCATAGCCGTCATAGCCACAATGAATTTTCTCGGGATTTTAGGGACCCACTTGCGCACTGGCCATTTTTACCCAATGCCATCAACCTAGCATTAGGAACAATAGGGTACCCACTGGTAAACGTTTACATAACTATGGAAAGATCCACCATGCTATTAATGGGAAAATCCACTATAAATTGCCATTTTCAATATTTTTTTGTATGTTTACCAGAGGGGATGCTGCAACCTATGGTAACATTGGGGATGGTTGTTGGATTTACCACCTCCAAACTAATCGGGGATCGAACAACTTCAGCCAAGGATCCACCCAGTACCATCGAGTTTTGTCGTTATGGCCCAACTAAGAGTGGGAAATGTCATGAAATAACATTAATTAAATACCCTCTGGTTATTTAACATAGCCATGGTATAAATGGCCCATTTATAGATGGTTTACCGAACTTAAAAATGGTGGATCTTTCCATGGCAAACTGTTAAATAACCAGATGCTAACTTGTGGAACCAAGGTTATATGTTGCATATTTTTCACATAAATTCATAGGGATCCAGGGTGACTGCTTTAAGACTGACCCCCTTCGGGGGCAAAATCAACTCTTATTCACTCTTATCTACTCTTATCCACTCTTATCCACTCTTATCCACTCATATCCACTCTTATCCACTCTTATCCACTCTTATCCACTCTTATCCACTCTTATCCCACTCTTATCCACTCTTATCCAACTCTTATCCACTCTTATCCAACTCTTATCCAACTCTTATTCACTCTTATTCACTCTTAATTTTAAGAGTAATGTTCTTCACTCTTATTCACTCTTATCCACTCTTATCCACTCTTAACAAATATGGTCGTTTCAGGATCAATGGGGTTTATCTTGATTTGACATGGTGTATCAATGGCAAAGATTATGGCTCAAAATGGATCTCAGCGAGAAAGATTGGAGTGCTCGGGTTGACTTCAAGTTGACACTGGGGCCGCCAATGTTTGTTGGGAGTGTTAACATGCTAAAAAACATATGAAATAGTCCTCGAAGGGGGTCACTTCCCCTGAAATGCATACCCTCTCATGGTTTAATACCAAGCCAAGATATGGTTCAAATATCACTACCCTCCCATGGTTTTAGGGGAGTGACCCCCTTCAAAACACGAGTTTTTGATAGTTTGGCTATATTAATCATTCAAAAATGAATACCCTCTCATGGTTTTGGGGGAGTGACCCCCTTCAAAACACGAGTTTTTGATAGATTTGGATATTAATCCTCAAAAATTGAATACCCTCTCATGGTTTTGGGGGAGTGACCCCCTTCACCAGTGTTTAGTGGGAAATTGTAGTAAGGATGGCACATTGAAGCTCAAGAAGAGCGCTTCCAACAAATAGGAAGAACACCGACACATTTCAACTGAGTGGTGCAAAAAAACGTGGTGGTTTCAAGGTGACCTGGAGCTTGTGAAATCACATGATTTTTACCATTTTGGAATTTCAACTCTTATTTTTAAGAGTAAGTAAGAGTCAATAAGAGTCAATAAGAGCAAATAAGAGTAGCAAAGGGGTCACCTCTAAGACCATCACCTTAGCTTTCTATGATAAATGAGGTTATATAGATGTTATTAGTCAGTTATTTGTGGCTATAGGATGCTATAGGGCCATAACATGCCATAACTATTGATTATTCTGGTGGATCTTCCAGAGATTGCCACCCACTTCCAATGGCTTAGGAGAGTTTAGGCTGTTCGAATGAACAAATATACTCGGAAATTTCAAAGTTCATACCCAACTTACCTGTTTGCCTGCCATTGAGCATTCCGCAAGCTATAAGAGACGAGCTTTTCTACGGCTCATTGTGGAAGCTGTTCATGTCCCGCATGTAATGGCTACGGAGGAGAATTGCCATGAAAAAGGGATGTTCCACATTGTTTACATGTCGACAGGATTCCGCATTTTGTCCATGTCAGCATCATTCCAATTCGTATATCCCAATCTGTTGCGCATGTGTTTCCATGTCGACAGGATTCCGCATTTTGTCCATGTCAGCATCATTCCAATTCGTATATCCGAATCTGTTCCACATGTGTTTCCATGTCGACAGGATTCCGCATTTTGTCCATGTCAGGTCATGTCAGCATCATTCCAATTCGTATATCCCAATTTGTTCCACATGTGTTTCCATGTCGACAGGATTCCGCATTTTGTCCATGTCAGCATCATGCCAATTCATATATCCCAATCTGTTCCACATGTGTTTCCATGTTGACAGGATTCCGCATTTTGTCCATGTCAGCATGATTCCACCAATATGTTCCACATGTGTTTCCATGTTGACAGGATTCTGCATTTGTCCATGTCAGCATCATTCCAATTCGTATATCCCAATATGTTCCACATGTGTTTCCATGTTGACAGGATTCCGCATTTTGTCCATGTCAGCATCATTCCAATTCATATATCCCAGTCTGTTGCACAATCTTTTCATGTGAACATTTCCATGTGAACATGATTCCACATGTTTTCAATGTCAACACCATTCCAACTCGTATATCCCAATCTGTTCCCAATTTGTTCCCATGTCAAAAGGATTCCATGTGTTTCTATGTCATTCCAATTAGTATATCCTTATCTGTTGCACAATCTTTCCATGTCAGCATGATTGCACATGTTTTGCATGTCAACCAGACCATTCCACATTTGTATTTGTGACATACAGATCGTCGATGGATAATATCCCATTTTGGTCTTGACAATATTGTACAGAACTTGTACACGTTTGTACATGTTTATTGGGGGTAATGGATTCACTTGCCAAAACCAGATGAATAAATATTTGGTTGGTGGTTTGGAACATGTTTTCCATATATATATATTGGGAATAATCATCCCAACTGACTAATATTTTTCAGAGGAGTTGAAACCACCAACCAGATATAGTGATTTTAATTTAATTTGGTCTGAAAAGATATATCAACGTATATCAACAGATTGAACCAATCAGATCATTTGGACAGTATGTTATGTATCGGATACGATGATCTCAATTTGTTTGGTCCCAGTGTCCGACAGGGTTTCAACCCTGTTGCACCCCCATTGTAGCCGTTAGTTATCCATGATTCATCCATGACAATGGCCATGCAACAGGAACCGATTGATTGGAGGTGCCTAGCATATACAAGGCCTATGTTTCAGGGCTAGGTAAGGGAATATTCCCACAAAATATAGCCTTATATGGTACAGTACCTCCATTTTAGGATCTTAAATTGGAGGTACCTACCATATATGAGGCCTATACAAGGCCTGAATTTCAGGGAATATCCCCGACAATTCATATGGCCTTCCATGGTACCAACGTATCTCATCCATGATTCATCCATGATTGATCCATGATTTATTCATGATTTTCATGGTGCTCTATCTATGACATACCCTCTGGTCAACATACAAAAAGCTATTGAACATGGCCATTGAAATAGTGGATTTACCCATGAAAAATGGCGGATCTTTCCATAGTTATGTTATTTTACCAGAGGGTACATTTACAATATATCAACTAACTTTGTAAATCCTGCGTGGAGCTACGACCTCTTGTTCAAAATGTCCCCAGAGAGACATATGCTATCGATCCATTGAAGTATACATACATATGTGTATATAAGTATATATATATATATACATATATCATATTTATATTTTTTGATTGGTCTATATATAATTACATACATGTATATATAATTACATATGTATATATATATATATATATATATGTGTATGTATATAAATATATATATGTATGTATATATATATACACATATTTGTATTTATATGATTATATATATGTGTGTGTATTTATAAATATATATATATATATATATTTAAATAATGATATATATATATATATGTATTTATTTAATGATATATATATATACGTATTTATTTAATGATATATATTATATATATACACACACGCATTTATATATATATATAGTCATACACGATATATATATATATATATGTATGTATGTATTTATATAGTGGTATATGATATATATATATACACATATATATATATATGTACTTATATAATTATATGTTTATATAAATATATGCATGTATTTATTATTTTATTTAGAAAGTCTTGTCTACATATGAATCTACACTTTCCATTTGGATATAAAGATCTCAACCTTTGGGGTCCAGCGGTCGTAATCATGCACATCGGCTGCGAGTCTGTTCCCTTTCCCCAAAAGCATGCTTCTGTTGCCACATCCTAGGTCCTAGGTATGCAGATGTGTCATTCCGTGAAAGGAAGCAACAAGCCAGACATCGCGTCCCGCAGCTACTAGAAACTCTACACTTCAGAGGCCCCCAGACGCAGAACCGTCATCGCACTCCTTGCCAAGGCGGTGGGCTTGGAAGTCGAAGACATCCTGCCTGGCATCGTCAAGGACCGCCACTGTAAGAAGCGAAGATTTGTGCAACGACTTCTTGCACGCAGATAGATAGATAGATAGATGGATGGATGGATAGATAGATAGATAGACAGATGGAGAGATGGATAGATGAATAGATAGATGGAGATGTGGATAGATGGATAGATGGATAGATAGATAGACAGATGGATAGATGGATAGATGGATAGATGGATGGCTGGATGGATGGATGAATAGAATCGATGGATAGATGGACAGACAGATATTTCTTTTTCTCTCTGTTCACCATAAATGGTCATGTAGCCAGGCTAAACACAAGCTTGGAATTATGCATGGGGCACCACGATGCAGGCATGGAAACCGGTGGGCCCATGGACTTGTTGGGCCCATGATGCGTGGCTTGAGACCTGATTGTGGCACGTTTTGCAATGGCCAGACCTGCCAAAATCCAGCTCAACCTGAAGCTTGGTTCGATTCTACCCGTTTGGCATTATAACACCATTGTATGTGCTCGAGGGACGGTTTGTGGAACACATTGTTGGTCAATTTGGTCGCATGTAATTCAAGTAGGGATTCCAGCTTTCCAGTTTTCACGCAAGATGATAAACCAGCAGCAGGCGCTTTACGAACGGGTTGAACGTATTGCCCAGCGCGCAGGACTGCAACTTCGCCGTGCCAGAGGCTGCCATCTGTTTGAAACTCAAAGGGTCCTGGCGCACCTGATGGATGATGAGGTGACACATATGATCGCGTTTTCTTGACGGTCGTTACACCAATATTTTGAGGGCGATGCCATTTGTGTCCACGCATACCTGATCTGTGACCATGGTTTTCCACCAAGTTGTTATTGTCATACTTGATGTTTCCTGATATCACCGTTTGTATCCATTTGTGTTGGTGCACGTTGGTGGCCGCGACCGTTTTTTTTGGGATGTATCATGATATATATTATTTGTATTGCTTGGACTATGCCCACAAAACTGTTGAGCACCTATGTAACTCAGACCCTCCTTGATTCCTCAGAATTGGAGTGTGTTCAAGTGCAAGAAAACACGAACGTGTCAAGTCCCACGAAACAAATGACGTTTGTCAAACGCAAGAACCTTATGGATCAGTGGAGGAACGCAGGATATTCACTGTGCAGGATCCAGTGGTTTTGACCGTCAGTGGATCCTTGCGGATCCTAAGAGGTTGATCCCATATGGCTGGAAATTTTGGTGCCAAAATCCCATGGTTTATCACCATTTTCCCAACCAAAAATTGGCGCAGCACCATTCTCAGACAACCCCATGGAATTATGTGTTTCTTCTTCGTTACTGTATATCCATGTATATCCCACTGTATCCCGATCATGATATGTTCAACCATGAGGCGTGGGAGACAAGATCCTTGAGGCGTCTTTGGGGCTCTCTGGATGGGTGGAACATGTAGATGAGAGCAAATAAGCAAAAAAACTCCGTGTAAAGATGATAGAAGATGATGAAATTGTTCCCTTTAACCAATCCAATGAATTAGACTCTTCCTTTTCACCAATCCCATGAGTTTTTAGATACTGTCATCATTTACTGTATATGTTATGTGGGTTTCTCTAATTTTGGGCGAACATATGGGCATCATGAGGTTCATGCCCCACGGAGTTCGCCAGTTGTGGGTAATTGGTGCTGGATCTGCAATGGGATGATCGGCAGCTGCAGAGTCACAAGACTTTGGCTAGTCCTTGGAGACTTTCTGGTTGGTGGTGACTGGAATATGGCTTTTATTTTACATAATATATGGGATATTATGGGATAATCCTTCCCAGTTGACGAACTCATATTTTTCAGAGGGTCAACCACCAACCAGTAATGTTTCCATTTGCCATAAAGTCATTTGAATCTCAGCGATCCACAAACCGGCAGTGATATGTATCTATAATATTCTATAATTATGTTTATAATAGATATATATATATATTATAGAATATCTAAGACTGGAAGTGTAGTAATTATTGTATGACTCCAGTCAATAGGACCTTGTCCATTAGCCAGTGGCTGCGGCTATACATGGCTCATATCCCCGCGTTTGCCACTCTAACCCCCAAGTATGGTTTGGTTCAACACATTCAAACCATGATGATGTTCTTTAGAGGGAAACCCAGAGGAAAGCACGTTTTTACCACCAAAAAGTTGAACAGCTTGGAGTTTTCGTCTAGATTTTTCGTCAAAACAATTCTGGGAATGTGTGTTTCACCCATTTTCCCAGGGCCCAGTGCAGGTGAACGGTGTGAGACCTTCTGGGCAAAGCTCTGCCCTGGCAATGTTGGCTGAGATGTCTAAGGAGGTGGCTTGGATGGGAGTGCAGAACAACCCGAAAGGGATTGGCATTGTTAAAGCCCTAGGAAGATATAGTGGTCAATTGGACCTTTCATATCTTTTTGGGGGTTTACTATGATTTGGTTCTTTATGGTGATCTTACCCATGGATTTTAATCACCAAAGATCGGGATGTAATTGATTGAACAAATTATTTCTCAGGACTCAGGGTCATTGAAAACAAAGATAAACAATCCAACCATCCAAACATCCAATTCTTGGTGTGTTCTTAAAAAACCTAGTTCTTTGGAGCCTAGCTGATTGATGCTTGTAGGCTTACATTGGGGTCCCCATCCGAGCCTTGAGCCCTTTTTTAATGATGGTTCCCCTCTGCGAATCAAAGATGATCAAACATGGCTGGATGGGAAATCCCTAAAAACCCGTGGGATTTTCAGTGGAAAATGATCGAAAAAAGATGAAGTTTCATGGTGGATTTACATGATTTACATGTGGAATTTCTATTGCCATGGTTGATTACTGGAGGGTAGATTAATTCTTACTGGTACACCTTGAATCATCGAGATATGGTCTTTCAGGGGATACTCCACAATGATCCAAATTTTGGGATCCGGTGGCTGAACTCTTGACCCATACCCGTTGTTGATCCTCCGTTCAGAATGGAAAAACTCGAGGAAAAGCTGAAGACTGGCGTCCCAAAGACGGTTTTTACGGATCGAACAATGGATTTCCTATGGCCCATGCCCAACTGGTTCCACCACAGGTCCTTCATCTTCTGCTGGCTCCTCCGGGTGATCATTTCGCGGTGCCTTTGAAGGTGGGAGCGGCTTTTGCCGGTTTAAGCAGCAAAAGTGAGGGTTTTAACCAAAGAAAATGGATGAACATGTGGGTTGACCATGCAAAAGATGGGGCAATTAATCATGTTTGTTGAGTTGGGATTTCACAGAACTATTGATAATTCTTGATGAATGGTGGGATTTTATGGGGGCAGTTTGGTGAAGTTGCACTAGACGGCGACGATGAGTTGCAATGCACGTGTCACATGTTTTGGGGCAAGAAACTGGGCAAGGACAACACTGGAGTCATACCTTAACTCTACACCTCACTGATCCTCAATATACCTTTCATCAACCTATAGATTGACTATTCATAAAGTTCGAGACCTTCAGACAACCGATGAAATGGTGTGCTGATAGCCAACACGGGTTTGTCCGATGATAAAGCACCCTACTTCTGAGTAGTTTGGCCAGCGGCATAGCCCACTTCTGGTGGTTTCGGATCATCCCAGCTATGTCCCAGCGATGTCCCGGTGTGAAGGGCAAATGACTTTGGATGATCCCAAGCTGAGATCAACAACACTTCCTCGAAAATGGACACTGAATTGGTTCAATGGAAATTGCACTCACACTTTGTTCCCCAAATATATGCAAATGTAGTCCACATTGATTCTGACCAAAAAAACACACAAATTATCGACATTGATTGTCAACCAAAATAAATACTTCAAATGTGATTCCGACAAACCGAGATTGAACCTATCAAAAATTAGTTCACATTGATTGTGAAAAAACATAAACATATTGAACCTATCAAACATAGAGCATTTTGAGTTCACTGAGAGCCTTGTAGGACTCCAAGCGACCGTTGAAGACGGCCAACCGCACCTGGACCGTACCTTGGAACGCGGGCAGCGAGGGGCGACCGGTTGACCGGAAAAAATTGGGGAACTTAAGCGAGAAAACGTGGGATTTAACTGGATTTAACATGATTTAACAAGATTTAATCAGCACAAAATATGAATTTCAGTGTCAAGAATCATATTTTGATAACAAGACTATGGGTCAACCTGAAATATTGGATTTACCGATCAATTGATGGATTTTGATGAAACATGGGATTTGGAATACCGATCTTGGACAAACCATTGGCTGGTCACTCACCACAGAAAAAGGAGGGGTCTTGCAGCCTTGCAGTATCAATGGGACTGGTTCAATATGGTTCAATACAGTACATCAGGTTGACCCGTACCCACAGGAGCCATAGCAATCAAAAGTTTCAAAAGTTCCGAAAATTCACCAAATCACCTGCACCCTGCCAGTAGACCTCTGAGGATGCCGTGCAGAATGAACTCTTGGGTTTCAGCCCACCGTGCCTCTGCGACTGGTGCGATGACCCGGCACCCATTGTATTGATGGAGATGGGGGGCATCCCATGGCCACTAAAGAGATGTTGGGAAAATGATGCGAGCCATGGGATTTTTTCTGGGATATCCTGTTTTCAGACAAAGCCATTTATCCGTTGGAAAGCTGTGGGGGAAGCGCGTCGGAAGATGATTCGTGTTCATGAGAAGGTCAAGTGTTGGAAAAAGGTAAGTAGACCTTGGAACAAAGAGTTGAGAAGGAATTTGGTATCTGGTGTGTTCCATCATTATTTATTTTTCCATATATTGGGAATTTCATCATCCCAACTGACGAATTCATATTTTTAAGAGGGGTAGGTATACTACCAACCAGATTGCCATCTTTGGAAGAGAAGGTTGGAATACTTGCGACAGAACATGCAAGGAACCCATCCCCAGCGGTCTCGATTCATCATCCACAATCCCATGGTGTCAAAACCAATACTTGCGACCATTTTTTTGGCAATATCAATATTTACTTTGATGTTGTAGTTGTAATTGGATCACATATCGATTTCGTTGATTTTCATTTGATTATTCCTATTTACTTTCATTTACTCCTAATTGTCCACAAACAAACGGTGTTTTGATGCCATCACATCCTTTCATCAAACCCATTTTCCACCCATTCCAACGGTGAGTCGCAGCCCCAGGCTGTGGCATGAGGAGCGCATCGCGACCTTCCGCAAGTGGTCAGGACCATATCCAGAGATGGTGGTTGGTCCATCCCCAGTTGGGTTTACCTCGTTACATGAATTGAATGCTGGTTGGTGGTGACTGGAACCATGGAATTTTATGACTTTCCCATCATATTGGGAATTTCATCATCCCACTGACCCCAACTGACGAACTCATATTTTTCAGAGGGGTAGGTATACCACCAACCAGATTGCCATCTTTGGAAGAGAAGGTTGGAATACTTGCGACAGAACATGCAAGGAACCCATCCCCAGCGGTCTCGATTCATCATCCACAATCCCATGGTGTCAAAACCAATACTTGCGACCATTTTTTTGGCAATATCAATATTTACTTTGATGTTGTAGTTGTAATTGGATCACATATCGATTTCGTTGATTTTCATTTGATTATTCCTATTTACTTTCATTTACTCCTAATTGTCCACAAACAAACGGTGTTTTGATGCCATCACATCCTTTCATCAAACCCATTTTCCACCCATTCCAACGGTGAGTCGCAGCCCCAGGCTGTGGCATGAGGAGCGCATCGCGACCTTCCGCAAGTGGTCAGGACCATATCCAGAGATGGTGGTTGGTCCATCCCCAGTTGGGTTTACCTCGTTACATGAATTGAATGCTGGTTGGTGGTGACTGGAACCATGGAATTTTATGACTTTCCCATCATATTGGGAATTTCATCATCCCACTGACCCCAACTGACGAACTCATATTTTTCAGAGGGGTAGGTATACCACCAACCAGAATGGATTTGGTACGAGTTTATAGTGACATTGTTGGTATTTTAAAAAATCAAAGATGACTTGCAATATGATATCGTGTTGGAACCTTAGACTCATTATATATATACCAGAAGGATGTAATCCAGTTCCCATATGACTCATTCACAAGTGAAGGAGACTGGAGAGCTGCCACAATCCAGTTGGGCCAGCCCGGTCTGCCACAGTCGTTCGCTGCAACTGTTTGATTTTGGGCTGATGAAGTGGTGAAAAATACTGGTTAATAATGGTTAATGGGATATTAATGGTTCATAATGGGATATGAATGGGATATTCTAGTAACATAGTAACATGTTATCCTGGTTGGTGGTTTGGAAAGGTTTGGAACCATGGAATTTTATGACTTTCCATAGGTTGGGAATTTCATCATCCCAACTGACGAAGTCATATTTTTCAGACGGGTAGGTATACCACCAACCAGTATCTCATATTATCACTTTTTTGGGTGTTTCCCCATCCATCCCCATCCTTTATGAAACAGGGACAAAATTCATTAGAGATTGACACCAAACATGCTTTCCCAACCCCCAATCAGTCAACCATGGTTTATCAAATAATCCCGGATTGACATCAATAATTTCTCCAATTTCATGTCGTGATTGAGAACATTAATGTGGTGGTGACCTTTATCGTATATGGATTACATCATTGGTCATTGGTTTAAACGTTAAGCCGTTAAGCATATCATAAATTCTAAGATGTTAAGATGAATCCTTGACTCATCCCCTTAGTAACCCCTAGAGATTGACACTTTCAGAGAATTCCCATTCCCATGACGGATCCATTTATGTGCTGCTATATATATATATATGGTGCTCCATGGATCCCATGAATATACCCCAGTCATGTTAGATAATATACCATCCCATTAATATCCCATAGAAACCCCATGGTAATCCCATAGTAACACCATATTACCCGTAGTAAAACCATACTATCCCATAGTAAAACCATGGTAATTATCGTAGACGAACTCCCATTGGTAAAGCCATGACATGCCCAGCACTTTTTGTCCACGTCAAAGGCTCGATGGATGTACCTGGACTGCGGAGGTGGAGGATGTCTTCAGCAGACTGAAATCTGAGGCCCTGCAGTCACATCCTGTGATGAAGAAGTGGCCAGCTGGCTGGGCGGAATATGTAGGTGATGTTAATATTTATATGTCTGGCAATTATAGGATGTTAATATATATTGTGGGTGGGATATATGATAATATATGTATATCATAAATGTAGGGATGGTAATATTGAATAGTATATCCTAGTGGAATATCCCTTCATAAAAATGTAGGTGATGTTATGTTAATATGTTATGCCTATTTGTCGATGGGCGATGTTTGACTGGTGCACCATCTTTGCTGACAGGGAAGTTTGCAAATGAACACAATGAGACGGTGAAATTCTGCGCGGTGGAACATGATAGCAAGCAGTTGAGAAGATCTGGATATGCAAGTGCGCACAACACTCGAAATTGATGAAATTATGGATGTAATGATCATTGTGCCTTCATCGCATGATCAGCAACATGTTTGACATTGTTTGACCATGAATCTAAGAGTGCGTTGTTGGGCCCACTGAGGTTCAACAGCTGGTTGGATCATGAGCAAATCATCATCTCAGCTAATTATTGAGTGCTTGACAAGAATCATGCACTGGTACACAGTAACTACATGTAGTTTAGTGTATGAAAAAATACATCTCACATGCCATATTTGTCAGACTTCGTTCTTAGACATTCTTAGAATCAGGTACTGAGTTCAGTTTCCTCCAAGATCTCAAGGGTTTCGGCAGTGCCGCAGGAACGGATCCAATTCCGTCCTGGGCAACGCAGCTTGCAGTCCGTGTCGGAGGAGCTCAGTGGTTTGGTGGTGCGGATGGTGAAAGTCCTTGGAGATCATCACATTCCAAGGTCTGACCTCGACATGATCATCGTACCTCTCATTTTGGACGAAGAGGTGCCTCAGTAGTTCAGACGGCACGTGCCTGAATGAATGGTTTGAAACTGACCAATCCACTCAAAAATGAACCTAGATCAAACCATTGGTACTAGAATTCTAGTAGAATTCTAGTTGAATCTATCACATTTTGGAAGCAGAGTCACAGGCATGTTGACATTTTCTGCCACTCAACGTGAAAAACGTGAAAGGTCGAGGACATGACGGAGTTGCCAGTACAGGTGAGGCGGATGGCCGGATGGCCGGATGGCCCATTTGACAGGCCGTCATGTCATATAACATTGATTCAGAGTTGCCAACATCCATTGATAAGTTTATATCATGTTATATCCAACTATAATTAGATTCTATAGATGTTATCATTTTATATTCATGTTATATCTAACTATAGATTCTATAGATGTTAGTTGCCGTATTATTAATAATAAACAAACAGCATCTGATCCTGGTTGAACCATTTTTGGAACCAAAATCTTTGCAACGCCGCTGGACCATGGCCAGGTGCGGAGTTTCCTGCTAGAGCTGGAGGACATGCCGCGTGTTTGCAGGTCAACAGCAAGGGTGTAAACTCAGTTTCAACGGATTTGTTAATTGAGATGAGCGCAAACCATACTTGATAGGTGATTAATGCAATATATTCAATAAACCATATATATATAATAATATCCTATATATATTTATATATAACCATATTGAATATCTAATAATATCCATAGGTGATTAATATTCATACTTGTAGGTGACTATATTGCATATATAATGTATTATACTGATTACAGTGGATATGTAGCTGACACCAAGAAATGTCGCGGCTCCCAGGACTTGGACATGGATTCCCTGTGCATTTTGGTCATGGCACCCAGAGGGGATGAGGGAATGACCAATGGTAAGGTCTTCCATCTCGGCAGTGGATGAAAACTCCTAGCCTGGTTGAGACATTGCCCAACATGACCAACATGAGCCTAAGAGTTGAGAATAGTTGAGATATTATGTGTTATTTCCAGTATTTGTTCAGATCACAACCATATATGCTGGAGATAGTTGAGATATTATGAGATATTAAGTCATTACCCGTCATGTGTTTCAACTATTTGTTCAGATTCACTTGTCATTTTTGGGCAGACCTTGATTTTTCTAATGTTGATCCAGGTCCATCTATGGAAACCGCTGGTTGCATTGGTGGATCAGGTCCTGACCGCTGGTGGTAATGGCCCGGAATGCTCTGGAGCCAGGAATGATGGGCCTGGGAAACCCAGGTGAGCCCAGATGACAATTGACACAGCCCTGGAAAATGTCATGGCCCTGGGTGGTGGTGACTGGAACCATGGATTTTTTATGACTTTCCATAAAAAGTTGGGAAAGGCCGGCTCTGATAGATGTGAATAATCAAGACTATGCGAGCGATGCAACAAGGATTTGTCAGTTTCATCACATGTTGGGCGTTTCATGTTTGTCTCGAAAGATGAGGTCCTTAATCTTATCCTTTTCTCACATTCTTCGACCTGGTAGGAACGGGAGTAAACCTTTGAAAAACCCATGGTGCATTCACTTCCTCAGACACTCCTCCACCGAGCAGCCAAGCCACATGACCCTCCCAGGTTCGGCATGCCGGCCGCAGCGCCGCTGCGCGGCATGTTCCGCTGCTTTCGTTTGGAAAACCCCGAGGTGCTTTTGGCTGTGATGAATGATGGGCCAGGGGTGGCCCCTTTGGGGATGCCTGCACGACCCAGTTGTGTTGTGGATTGCTTTTTTTAATGGGAGGGTTCAAATATGAGAAGAAGATAAGAAGGGTCAAAGATCATGTTATCTTGGAGATTTTGCAATGGGAAGGTCGAAGAAACAAATTTGGCCAAGTCTGTTTGATGACAGGGTTTTGCTCCGCTCCACCAACTAGAAATGCATAAAAGGCGCCAAGTGCAATGCAGAAATTGTCTTTCAGTTTGATCCATTTTGCTACAATCAATCAGATCTACAGTGTCAAAGCACTGATGCTTCGCAGTATCATGTCAGGTTTTGAATGGATTGTAGCCATACACTTAGATTTCCAACTCTACCATATCCATCCCACTAAAATTACTTTGAATCATTTATCCCACTGTAAAACTTTGACCTTTCCCAGGGGATCAACACACCACTCTCCACTCCAAAGATCCAGCGATCTCCGGTCTCCGGTGCAGATGCCGATTCTGCACCTTGATAGCGATGCCTTGGTCCTGCGACTTCCTCAGTCTTTCCAGCTACCAATCACTTGTCGAAGCTTAGCGAAGTGAAAGAAAGTATTAAGAAGTCCTATTTTTCGGCATCCTTAAGCAGTTGCCAGAAAAGCCAGAGGACTTCTTCGGAAAATTCAGCAGCAAAGGCCAGGAAGAACTGCGGAGCTGGAGGTGCTCCTCGGCATTGGGAGGTTGGTACTTCTATGGCATCAGGGGAGAATGTAACCAACTGACATGGGCATCAGTGGGTTTTAATGGAGATGTGACTACAATATACCCTCTGGTTATTTGTCACATAGCCATGGAAAATCACCATTTTTAAGTTCGGTAAACCATCTATTTCTATGGGCCATGGCTTCCATGGCTATGTTAAATAACCAGATGGTACTACAATCATGGGTAGCTACAGGGAAAGATAAAGATGATTGTGTTTTTCCCAATTTGCGGGACTCCAACAGATGTATAGATGTGAAGTGTCAAACTAGACACAACACCATCTGCAAGATATGCTGCAATGGTCTGGGGTTGACAATTGCTATCATGGGACACTTGTATGTCTGTAGGAATATCCGAATCGACACATTTTGATTCTAGTTCGCAAGAATCCAACATCAAGCTCTACACAGCATTCCAATCAGACCAGGTTTAAGACACTCTGTGGGTGTTTTTTCATGTTTTTTCCCTATGTTTCTTGGTGATACCTCCAGCATGTCCCTTGAACAACCCCATTCTTTGTGGGTGGATCAGTCACAAAGCGGCAATTCTCAGGAGCAGATTACTAGGGAGTGCGGAGACCTGGAAGGATAACATATGCGCAACATGGGCAGCGTGCCAAGAGCTGTTGTTTTTCTTGGGAAATTTGACCATCTCCCTGATTTGGGGAGCACGAACCTGTGGCTTATCCGATAACTTTCATGAATTTGATTAATTGCGTAGAAAGCCAAGCTAAAGGTCCAAGTTGCTGCAGAAAAGATTGCAAGGTCTTCATTTTACCCGATTTGATCTTCGAATTTCCCTTTTTGCGGAAAGTTGCAGCAGCCAACTGTGGCCTTGCCCCTCTGGTTGTTTGTTCAGGTTGATGATGAGCCCAACGACTGTCCAGGCGGAAAGATCCGCTGCTCATGTAGCTTTGGAGTTGTTTGAAACTGCAAACCCACCTGTCATCTAAAGCTAAACAAGTCAGATTTGGTTTATTTTGATCTATGGTTATGTTGGAAGCAAATCAAACACATATCGTAACATACACAAGAACATACAATAGTCGTCATGGTATGTGCCTGTCACAGATCATTCGGAAAATAAAGCATTCTGAGTCTACTATACCTATATCATCCTGGATCTAGTTGAGCCTCAACATAGCCCAACAAAAATAACCCTATTGCAAATCTAGGTATCAGATATCTCGAGATATTAACCTGCTGGGAATGGTGGGATGTTTGAATCCAGGCCTCCGCCTTGCACAACCGGCCAGTTTGATGGTGCAGGGCTGTTGGCGGTCTTCAACCTGTTTGGGTCCAAAGTGGCGTGTAGCTTGAAAGATGTTGAAAGATAAAACCAGGTGACTAGAGTCCAGAAGACTATAGTGTATAATTTCGTGGTACAATATCTTAGTGGTCCCTGGGGTCTGATATTTGTTTGATTTCCGAAGGGTAGCTTACGAAAATTGCCGCCGAGCAAAATCCCAACTTTCCCTGCTTGTTGCTGGATGAGTGATGAGAAAATATGAGAAACAAGGCAATGAATTACCCGCCATGTGTTCACAACCATTCTTTACCATTGACCATCATTTGGATGAATACTGGTGTTCAATGCCGTCATTTACCATGGAGAAACCAGGGAATCAAGTACCCCTTATGGCTGGTGGTAGCCCAAAAAACACATATCAGGACCTTCCTGGGCCGAGAGGCAACGATGAGACGGAGACTGTGTTGGGTGTTCTTTGATTGATACCATTTGGTTATTTAACATAGCCATGGAAAATGGTGACAAATAACCAGAGGGTAACTTGCGGTGTGCTTAAGGAGATTTGTTTATTGTGCCCATGGAAGAGTCCACGATTTGGGAATTTGGGGAGGGGAATCTGTTAGTTGAATGGATATGAGTGGATGGCGTGGTCACAGCATCTCACGCTTAGCTGATTTGATATTATGATCCCATCCCACATGCTCCATGTATGGTATATAACCATATATAACCTATATTTGTTATTTTTTTGAGGTACATGCACGTGCCTGTCTGTAAATATTCCATACATGGAGCATTTAGGGATGGCCAAGCAGTAAACAGGAAAGACTTCAGACCACCAACGATGTTTCAGAGAGTCGACCAGGGGTCACGAAACCAACAACAAGCTCAATAAATCATGGACTCTGGGACGGTGATGTTATGGTGTATCATGTGCCATAACGTGCAAGCCTACCAAACAATCCAATCAAAATCAAAAGACATTCAAAAGACTTTAGGAAGAACGGTTTCCATTAATCGCATGAATTGGATAGCACTAATTGAAAACAATGTCCATCAACTTCCAATATTTTACTCCATGTTTCATAGATAGCCACATCCCACGTATGTCGATGGTTGATCCACGGGGGTCTCTTGGATCAGCACGCCACAGGTGGCCTATCGGAAGCAGCGCCGCTTTGTGCCCAAGTCGGGGGATCCCAATTCCCTGATAACATGACAACATATGATGACCATTGCTACATTGCTGTTGGGTCATCCATAAGATCCATAAGCTTGGCTTGATGTTGATTTCAGTTTATCTTCTGACTTTCAATATTCATAAGATTGGTCTCGTGGCAAGCAAAATCTGTTGTAAGTGAACATCAGCCTCATTTGGAAATGGTGCTCTGCGTCAGTCTGCCTGGCCGCAGCGCCAAGTGCCTCAAAAGTGGTTTCCTCCGGCAGAGAAGCCATGACGAGCCAGAGAGAGGAGTCCTATGCCAAGCTGTGCAAAGCATTGGAGGCATTTCCCAAGATCTGTCAGGAGATGGAGGTTTCTAGGTTATACTGTACCTGCAACCGCTCCAGCAGGTCTCCGTGCTTGATGGCCGAGGGAGTAAAGAAGCTGCTACAAGGATATCTGAGAGACTTTGAAGTGGCAGCGAATAGCAGGTTGCAAGCATGTCATCATTATTCTGATTTTCTTGTATACGTTGCTTCTAGACTCTTCTGGCCGTGCATCAGCTCCGAGACACGTCAAGTGCCTTTCTATTGTTTAGAAAGCTGGAAGCAGGCGGAATTGTCGTCAGTCGCGGAGGATCTTGAATCGATTGCATCGTTTGCATCGCTTGAAAAAAATCTCCTTCCTGCCGTCGAGGAACCAGTTCACTTGCACATTTGGAAGCGTTGGGTAGATAATATCCAGCTGTTTCGGCAAGTATGCATTTTTTTTGCCTATTCCGGCTGTTCTGGGGTTAAGAAAGCGGCCTCCAAGGACTCAGTTGCAGATTTTCTGAATCGCTTCAAACATGTCCATTTGGAACTGGAAAGACGAGAAGATGTCAACTCAGAATTGCGTTGCATCTTGAAAAGTCTTGCTCCAGAAGTTGCCAGGTGCATCGACCTGATCATGAAGCAACTCCAGTCGACATATGCTGACTACCGGGTCGAATGCATGAAGAGCAACGAAAAGGCGCCCGAAAGTCTCACGCAGTTCATTTTCAGGCGGCGTGATGATCTTTGCAAGTCTGTGTCGAGAGCTGAAGCCTTGTTTTTCGAAGTTGAAAAGCATGTTTCTTCCTTGCGATCCCCCAAGATGAAATCTGACTGTTCCTGGAGCTTGATCTCGGAAACTCCAAAGGATCGGGGAGTCCCTGTGCTGTCGACAGACCGTTTGGAAGAGGTTGCGAGTGCAGCATCTGGCCATTCAATCAACAGTGAGATCTCCTGCCTGTCGGGTCAGGGTGGGCCTCACTGCTTTCTGCCATCGCATCTCTTTCACGCCTTGCAGTCTGGAGTTGGGCGTGAATCTCCATCAGCTGCCTTAGTGTTGGCACAGGACAGGTTTTTGAAGTATTGCCCTCCCTTTCAAGCAGAAGCAATGAATAGCACAGTTGCCCCTTTGAATGGTGGTTATAGATGGTTTTGCGCGTTTCATTTCTGTGAGAACGGTCTGACAAGATAAGACGTGCATTATGCTATGGACTATGCTGAGCTGCATTTATGATAGTTAAATAGTTTGTACTGATTCTTTTCCCGGAGGCCCTTCCATCCCCATGTAGCAGCCAACAGTGGCTGAAGTGGCTGCAGTGGCTGCTCCCATCAAATTGGTAAAATTCTGCAGGATGTGCGAGTAGCATGGTTTAATGGTGAAGATTGGGTTTGGCAAATCCAACCTTATTAGATAACTCGCTAGCAATAGTAAATTGGGAAAATTCACAAATGAAACCTCCTTAGATAACTCGCAAGCGGTAGTGAATTGGGAAATTTGGCAAATCAAACCTCCTTAGATCACACGCTATCGACAGTGAACGCAGAATTTTGGTAAATCAAACCTCCTTTGATCACTTGCTAGCGGTAGTGAACTGGGAAATTTGGCAAATCGAACCTCCTTAAATCACTCGCTAGCGGTAGTTGGTTAGTGATCTAAGGAGGTGCGATTTGCAGTGGCTCTTAGATCACTCACTACCACTAGCGAGTGATCTAAGGAGGGTGCTGTTTCACTGGATCACCCTCAATCCTCTCACCAATGTCCCTGCGAAAACACTCCTCTCACTGGGTGCACTGGTTCTTCTCACTCTCTTCTCAAAATCACTCACAACCGCTAGCGAGTGCTCAAAGGAGGTGCGACTGTCGCTCCGGCATAGATCACTAACTAACTTAAATGCACCAGAGCCACTATACACATAATTCACTACCGCTAGCGAGTTATCTAAGCAGGTTTGATTTGCCAAAATTCCGCGTTCACTATCGCTAGCGAGTGATCTAAGGAGGTTTCATTTGTGATGTTTCCCAATTTACCAATGCTAGCGAGTTATCTAATAAGGTTGGATTTGCCAAACCCAATCTTCACCATTAAACCATGTTACTTGCACATCCTGCAGACTTTTACCGATTGGATGGGAGCAGCAACAGCAGCAACAGCAGCCACTTCAGCCACTGGTGGCTGCTACATGGGGATGGAAGATGATGGGAGGGTGTCAGGGAAAAGAAACAGTACTCACTATTTAACTATCATAATGCAACTGAGTATGGATAACTGCTGATACCTTTCTTTCTGAAATGCAGCCTGCATGATTCAACTTAGACGAGGTTGCAGGTTTGATAGTAGGTAGAAGGCAGTTTCAAAGGAGTCACTGCAGTAGCAAGAGAATGCAAGAGAGCTGTGTCGGGGTTGCGCTTCAGCATAGTGGTCAGCTGTTCGTTCTGCCCAGGATTTGCGAAAGGGCACCAAGATCCTTTCGGCAGACGGTGTCACAATAGAGGTGACCAAGGTGGAAAAGCAGAAGACGAACAAGCTGGTGGAATTGGAGAGCTCTGGCAGGGGTTGCGTATTTTTTTCATGATCAGACAGATAGTTCGACTATACTCCACAAACAGCGATTGGAGCAATGATACTGGTAGGGACCAAAGTGGTCTGTGGCATACTGGAGCTCAATTGAGCTGAAGTGCCCACAGCTCGGTCACTGGTCAATAGGTCTCTCCAGAGTCCACTATATTCACCCATGTTGCCATTCCAACTGTGAACATATTAATTTGACCTACAGTAGTTTGACTGTGGCCAACATTAAACATTGGCTTTGCTGAGTGAGGATTGATCGCGCGATGCCCTTGACTACCACTCCACACCACCGCATCATGGTCCCATCTGAGAGTGAAGCCACAACAGTCATGGCGGTCGATCTGTCACCCGGGAGTCTGGTCATGTGCAGCGATTGCATGCCCAAGAAGGTGATCAGAAAGACAGAGTACCTTGCAGCTGGGCTCTCAAGAGTTTGACTTGAATCCTGTTTGATTTTTCGAATGGCCAGATGGGAAATCGTGCCCCATGAATGGGCATGAGCAGATTTTTGCCATGCTGTCTTCAAGTTCAGTCCAGTTCTTATCCTCGCCAGAGTACTTTATCAGTTGTGTGTTTTTGTCGAGGGGCCGAGAGTCATTTCAAAGAAACCATTCTGGCACCCTTCTGATTGAAGGTCCACTTATTCTGTTCTGATCCATGGTGGCATTGGGTCGCATCCCCAGCTGTTGATCCTTTTCCTTCTTTTTTCAACACAAAACCTGTCCAGCCCAGGTCGAAGAACAAGACGTCTTGGCCATCACCTTCCATCCGGACAAGGCAGTGGCGTGCTTCCTGCCACCCGAGGAGCCGGTGGTGCTGACCAAAGGCCTGACCCCCAAAGAAACCCGTCGAGGTGGCATGGGCAGGCGAGGTGTCAAGCAGGAGGTGGTCAGCATCCCAGACACGGCAGCGGGTGAATATGAAGACTGAGGAGGCAACATAGGCAGAGTTGTCTAGGGAAAAGATTGGGCAACCAGAATTTGGCAACCATAGCCGATAGCTATCGTAGGATGTTTCCACGGCTGAGTTTTGTATCCCTTCCAGCCGGATGGAATGACAGACAATCGAAAGATCCAAAAATGCCCTATCTTTTCATGTTTTGCCAGGGCGCAGGGTCAGAGGCCGGGGATTCAGAAACCCGGGGTCATCTTGCTTGAACCATGATAATATAATTGGATGTACCCTTTGTTTCATCATGGTTATCAAGCTCCTCGACACAAAGGTTTGGTTGAAAGTTGAAAGGTTTGGTTGAAACTGTTAAATGCTGCAAGCAAGTTGATTTCAGACGGGTTTTTACTTTACCTTCTGGGAGACCTGGATGGCCCAGCCAGTGGCTAGTTCTAAAAGGACTCTTCAGAGCGCCTTTCAGACCAAAGCTGCATGTTGCCTAATTAATCCTAATTAATTATCCCAAAGACCGAAGAGTCAACGATGCTGGTGATATAACCGCCCACCATTTTGCAATCTAGCAAACAAAATGATTTTTCTCTGATAAAACAATGGGTTCGAAAATACAATTGGCATATACTTAGGGTGTCATTGGTTTCGATCAATCTATATACTTCATAGTAACGAAAGCAAACATTTCTTTAGCCATTTCACCAACATCGACATCAGAGAAGCCGTGGCCGTCCAATTTTGGCTGCCGCAGCTGCGGCGTGCACGGCTCGTGGAGCAAGTTGCTGCTGTGGTGTCTTCCAGTGCCCAGGCAGTCGACCTCAGCTGCTATCATAGAAGATGTGAAACAGTAGCTGTTACAAAGGGATATCTCAGCCTAACACAGAAAAATCCACCTATGTGTAGATCTATTTTAGTGTATCTCCAGATGCATGATCATGCATATTCCCATTATATTGCATTCATGTCCATCCCACCTATGGGTTGGAAACTTGTGTCATATCCAATTCTAGGGATTTATTTTTGACTTCAATCTCAACTAGCATTGAAACATGGGTGGTATTTGGTAGTTCTCGATGGTAAATGTTTATAGAATGGGCTAGCGCCCGGGTGCCGCCAACCCCCCCTATTTGGGGGGTCCTGCAGAGAGAGGGAGAGAGATAGATGGATGGATGGATGGATGGATGGATAGATAGGTAGAGAGATAGAGAGAGAGAGAGATAGACAGATAGATAGATAGACAGTTGGATAGACAGATAAGTAGATGGAGAGATAGATGGATAGATAGCTGGATGGATAGATAGATAGATGGATAGATAGATAGAGAGGGAGAGATAGATAGAGGGGGAGAGAAAGATAGAGAGGGAGAGATAGATAGATAGAGAGGGAGAGATAGATACTCCGACGGCATCCGACGGCATCAGCGGTTCAGTGGGTCAGTGGCGCGTCGCTTCCGGCGGGCCGTGCTGAGGTCGATGGTGGTACATGGTGGGACAGACATGGACATATATGTTTTGATATGCCCCAACATGCCGCAATTCAATTTGCCACACAATGTGCAATGTGTATGCAATGAGTATGACGCTACAAATTTGAAGTCAGACCTCAGTTCATATTTTTAAGCATATTTGGCCTCCTATCATTGTATGATTGGTGGTAGAGTATCATTGATTTTGAAACTCAGGGATAATCAAGGGTACTGATCTCCGGAAGCTGCTGAGCTTGCCGCGCCAGGGCCACGAGTTGTGGCGCCTCATCATCGCCATGGCCTGGAGCTTCACATGGTGGGGCCGAGGGGTTGGGGGATGGGGATGGGGTTGGGGATGGGGTGGGGTTGGTGTGTTGGGGGTATCAAAAATATACTAAAAAATGGGTGATGTGGGGTTTTGCGGGCTGGCAAACGGCAGGCTTGAGCCACCATAAAAGGACAATGCCGGGGCTGGCAAACGGCATGGGAGCTGCAGGGAAGCATTTGGGGGGTTTTGCGGGCTGGCAAACGGCAGGCTTGAACCACCATAAAAGGACAATGCCGGGGCTGGCAAACGGCATGGGAGCTGCAGGGAAGCATTTGGGGGGTTTTGCGGGCTGGCAAACGGCAGGCTTGAACCACCATAAAAGGACAATGCCGGGGCTGGCAAACGGCATGGGAGCTGCAGGGAAGCATTTGGGGGGTTTTGCGGGCTGGCAAACGGCAGGCTTGAACCACCATAAAAGGACAATGCCGGGGCTGGCAAACGGCATGGGAGCTGCAGGGAAGCATTTGGGGGGTTTTGCGGGCGGGCAAACGGCAGGCTTGAACCACCATAAAAGGACAATGCCGGGGCTGGCAAACGGCATGGGAGCTGCAGGGAAGCATTTGGGTTTTGCGGGCTGGCAAACGGCAGGCTTGAACCACCATAAAAGGACAATGCCGGGGCTGGCAAACGGCATGGGAGCTGCAGGGAAGCATTTGGGGGGTTTTGCGGGCTGGCAAACGGCAGGCTTGAACCACCATAAAAGGACAATGCCGGGGCTGGCAAACGGCATGGGAGCTGCAGGGAAGCATTTGGGGGGTTTTGCGGGCGGGCAAACGGCAGGCTTGAACCACCATAAAAGGACAATGCCGGGGCTGGCAAACGGCATGGGAGCTGCAGGGAAGCATTTGGGGAGTTTTGGGGGGTTTTGCGGGCTGGCAACGGCAGGCTTGAACCACCATAAAAGGACAATGCCGGGGCTGGCAAACGGCATGGGAGCTGCAGGGAAGCATTTGGGGGGTTTTGCGGGCTGGCAAACGGCAGGCTTGAACCACCATAAAAGGACAATGCCGGGGCTGGCAAACGGCATGGGAGCTGCAGGGAAGCATTTGGGGGGTTTTGCGGGCTGGCAAACGGCAGGCTTGAACCACCATAAAAGGACAATGCCGGGGCTGGCAAACGGCATGGGAGCTGCAGGGAAGCATTTGGGGGGTTTGCGGGCTGGCAGGGGGCTGCAGGGAAGCATTTGGGGGGTTTTGCGGGCTGGCAAACGGCAGGCTTGAACCACCATAAAAGGACAATGCCGGGGCTGGCAAACGGCATGGGAGCTGCAGGGAAGCATTTGGGGGGTTTTGCGGGCGGGCAAACGGCAGGCTTGAACCACCATAAAAGGACAATGCCGGGGCTGGCAAACGGCATGGGAGCTGCAGGGAAGCATTTGGGGGTTTTGCGGGCTGGCAAACGGCAGGCTTGAACCACCATAAAAGGACAATGCCGGGGCTGGCAAACGGCATGGGAGCTGCAGGGAAGCATTTGGGGGGTTTTGCGGGCGGGCAAACGGCAGGCTTGAACCACCATAAAAGGACAATGCCGGGGCTGGCAAACGGCATGGGAGCTGCAGGGAAGCATTTGGGGGGTTTTGCGGGCGGGCAAACGGCAGGCTTGAACCACCATAAAAGGACAATGCCGGGGCTGGCAAACGGCATGGGAGCTGCAGGGAAGCATTTGGGGGGTTTAGGCTTCAACCACCATAAAAGGACAATGCCGGAGCTGGCAAACGGCATGGGAGCTGCAGGGAAGCATTTGGGGGGTTTTGCGGGCTGGCAAACGGCAGGCTTGAACTCCCTGAAAAACAGATGGCAGGGGCATGTAGCTGTAAGAGTTGTTGCCTTGGAGGCCTGCGGAAGCGTTTGGAGGGTTTCAGGCCGGTCAAACGGCAGTCTTGAACTCCCTGAAAAACAGATGGCAGGGGCATGTAGCTGTAAGAGTTGTTGCCTTGGAGGCCTGCGGAAGCGTTTGGAGGGTTTCAGGCCGGTCAAACGGCAGTCTTGAACTCCCTGAAAAACAGATGGCAGGGGCATGTAGCTGTAAGAGTTCAAACGGCAGTCTTGAACCCCCTGAAAAACAGATGGCAGGGGCATGTAGGTGTAAGAGTTCGGCAGGAGCATGTAGATGGCTGGGGCATGTAGCTGGCAGAGGTGTTGCCTGAATGGCGTGTGCCTTTGCTTGCGACCCGAGAGCCAAGTTCCACACCTCCGGTGGTCCCAGGCGCCGCCCCTGCCTTGGCAAAGGCCGGGGTCGGCGGATATATAAAGGCCTAACGTTTGATCATTATTACTAAGCAGGTGATTGCCCTGCCCATGGAGTCGCATCTACACTACGCTATACCAATCACATTCACTTCACCAGTCATGTTTGGGTCGATGGCGTGGGCTACGCGCACCTGTCACACAGCGCACCCGATCTTTCGAAGTGCCATGTGATCAGCAATCCATTTCGATGGCAACGGCGAGAAAATGAGAGGGGGCCAACCCGTGGGTGTATAATGGTGTATACGTGCTGCAGTGGTGTTGCAGGTGTTTTGGAAGTTGCTCAGCACTACGTGCCATTAAATCGTGCATGTATAAGAATGATATATTATATATATATGTAATGTAATATGACATAATATATATATATGAACTGATGCATTTACCCAAAACATCCCAAAAAAACATCCAACAGCAGGTTGGTTCCCACTCGCATCTTCCCGGACTTGATCCAAGGCTGGACATCTCCAGGGCACCGGATGGGTGCACTCCGACAGGTGCGGGTGGAGGTGGAGCTGGATGATTGGACAGGGGCCAGCTGCAAACGCTTGGACAAGCCTCCAGTGAAATGAGTTGGAAATTGGAGATGAGAAAAATATGGTCTTCTTGTTGTCCATCAGTGTGGCCTCTCATTCTTGGATCTTGGAAAAAATTGGAAAGAGCTGTTGCCCCATTGGGTAAGCCCTGTTAAATTCCAAAGATTTGGATGTGCTTGCAGGAAGGGGCCCTTTAGATATATAGGTCAGTTGATTTTTATAGGTCAACTGGTGTTTAGTATGGATATATCCATAGCTAGGTGTGTTTATAAACCAACTTATAAGTAGGTGGGGGCCTTCCTGTAAGCCTGTGTGTTGATGTTGTTACATGTTCTTTGGAGATGATGTTTCACAACTTCGAATTTCTTCATGACTGCGAAAAACATGAGTAAAGTCATGTAGGGTTAGCTGTACTGCTTAGGATTTACAAAGCACCCTTCCATGTTGATCAAACATTGGCGATCTCCACAATACGTTGATGGACCTGTGAAGTATCAAGCAAGTTTTGG